CATTAAACATTATTTTTTTATGTATTTTTCTTAAAATATAAGATAGCATCGTAAACTATCTATCAAAAAAAATTTGTTTCCGTGTAGCACGTGTGGCTCAGACGCTGAAGACTTTGAAGCGCCCAGTAAGTTTTGATCTAAGTTCTATTTCAGAGGAGAAGACAAGTTTTTTATGAAGCATAACAAGGTATTTCCATGTTAAGGGATAATTACATGACAGACGCGTATGTGTGGGCGGTAAGACAAATATCCCATTCCCCTTCAGAAGCCAAAAATTGCAGATAATAGTTAATATTACTGATACATATAATTTATCACATATATCTTAAAATTTTATTTTTTAATTCAAGGCAGAATTGAATATGCTATTAATTTATGAATTAATATAGATTTCAAAATTTTCTTAGCGTAATATTTATCTAATATTTTATCCAAAATCATTTAAACTTTTTAACTGCAAAACTAATGTAAAATATTTCAAAGAAATTGACATCCTTTTGATTGAGACTATGAGAATAGCTGAAAGCATTATATTATAACTTGAGGAAATTAAGGCAAATGTAGATGACAAATTTCATCGATTATATGTCATTTGTTTACTTCGACTCGCAAGGCTAGATGATCGTTCCAATATAGTGTTAGTCAACGAATACTCTAAAATAAATCTCTATATCTCCCTCTTCTATATTTTTATCACTAAAATGAATGACGGTTCTTGATTAATGCAAATTTGGGTATTATTAGCGCAGAATTTTTCGAATCTATTTCAAATCTTGTTAGAGAAACATCAAATATTTGACAGATGTTTATTTTGAGGATGTTAAAGAATCCCATAATGTATTACTAACTAAATGCAAACTATGGTATAAAAGGTTTACAAAAAATTCTATGTTTCGCAAAATTTCAAACACAATTTAGATTATTTTAGTGTATAAAAATTATTATATATTTTTCCACCAATGAAATAGCATTTTAACGATAATGACTTAAGAACAGTGTTATTAAACGTCTCGATATTAGCCGATTTTTAAAAACGGCCAACTCAATATTTTCTATACCTTGAAATTTTGCTAATAGATGTCCGAATCCTTGTTCTTCAGGCTTACAATATATTTTTCTTATTAATATATTGAGTTTCCCCATTGAACCGTTTAACAACAACACCGAAAAGTAATACCTCTGAAAATTGATTAAATTAGCGTATCCCTTCTTAATATAAATTATATTGTTTAAATCATGACAAAACAAAAACAACCAAAACTTTCAGCTAGACCGTTTAACTTATTTGATATGCTATTAAACACAGCGCACTCAATCAACCTTGATAAAAACTTTATTAATAGTTTTTACAAAAATAGTTAGCCTCTACTTGGAAAAATATATATTCGTCCTTGAGCGTAATCTCTATGTTAAATTTTATGTCAAAGAAATGAAAAGTTAGAGAAATAAAAATATTTATTTTTTACTCATCCATCCATCCATTCTATTTTTTTTATTAATAAAACAGATTTTGTTTTATTTTTTGAGTATTCAAGTTTTTTTTGTATTTTTGTCCAAATCCTAGGTAGATCTCTCCTTATATTTAAAAGAAATCCCCAAGGTCTATCAATTTCAGCTTAAATACTGCTAAATTTTTAGTATATATATAGTTGATCCTAACCCTTAAAAATATATAAATGATCTCTTGACGAGTAAATTAAAATTTTTACCATTTTATTTGATGATGGATGAATTAGAAAATTAGCCTCCCTTATGAAGTGTAAATCAGAAATTTACCTTTATTTTGATGAGATAAGAAGTAATTTTCCTAGATCCCTTATCATTTTCGCAAAATATTGAAGTATATATTTGGTGTATACCTTCAATATGAAAAAATTGGATCATATTTGCAATTATACTATTTTCAATATATCTATATTACATAATATCTGATAAAATTGTCATTATTTAATACTAAATAGTCAAAAAAGCAAATAAAAATTTTTTAAAATAACCACATTAAACAAAAAAACAAAAAAAAAACAAAAGACAAAAAAAACGAGAATGAAATACGAAAAGTAACAATGTGACCAAATACTTAAAAGAAACTAAAATAGAGTGTCCTCGTTCAAAAACTTTTTAGCCAATACTAAAAAGTAATTAAGCATCCAATTTAAGCCGACCCAGGACACAGCCTTAGACTACATTTTTATACTTGTGTAATTTATAATAGTCAAAAAATAAAATCTGATGATACTTATAGCAATTTTTTCCTGGGTATAAGATAAAATGGCTAAAATGCGATACTTCGCCTAATATATCATATCTCCCAAAATAGATACATTTTTTAAAATTTTGTAGATGGGGTATTTAGCTATCCTAGACTGACGATTCATTCATTAAAAGTGTACAACAATGCAAATCAGCTGGAGACGCCATCTTGGTTAAACTAATCATTATTAAAATTTTAAACGAGAGCCTAATTTATTCCTATATCTGATGCAAACTTAAAGAATTACCGGATCATCGAGATAATAAGGAAGCAAGTTATCAATTTAATAGTTTTTAACATGAGAATAATTACTGTATGTGTTACCAATGGCGGGTACAGCTGATTTGTTTTTAACGACGCTTAAAAATGCATTTTAATGAATGATACGTCAGTCTAGGTATTATATAGGCCATTGATATATATATAATTTGTTCTGTTTTGTTTTTGTTTCAAAATTTTATGATTAAAAACAAAAATTTGCAATTTCTTTATTAAAAATAATACTCCGAGATCAATATCTTTGAAGATTTTTTCTGATCAAATATTCAATTCATCCATGTAACGTCATACAATCATAAATCTAATGAGTTGTGTGTTACTCTACGAATACTAAAAGGAAAATACTTTCTCAAAAGAGACGATGAATGAGTCAAGAGAAATAATATATGAAATCTTACAAACTTAATAATGAGCTTTGATAGTGGTACTGGGAGATCTTTGGCCTAATTTATGTTAGGAATGAATTTAAATAAATTGGTTGGAGTTAAAACCGGAATGGAGAGAAGGGTCTACTGTAAAGCGGATTAGATTGAGTCTGGATTCAGAGTCTTTAGAAAGCAATGCTGACTAGCAACAATCTATAAGTGGGGCGGAGATTAAGGGTTTCAGAAAAGGAGAACAGAAGTAGTGATGACACATGATCTGAATAAGATAGAAAAATCTATAGAAATGGAAAACATATCTGATGTAGCTCAATCGACAATAGATCAAGTGTAGATTTAACAGTCAGTCTGGAATTAATCAAGCGATCATGGCCCTATGTCATCCGACCAAACATATGATTGAGGAATTATAATTTTAAAATGGTTAAAATATATTTTTATTTAATTGGGATATGTTATGTATGATGTTGTTATAATTTATTTATTTGGAAGGGGGGGGGGGGGGGGCTAATTATTCATTGTTATTTTTTTTTGCCATTTTGTCAAGTCATCATCTAAATTAATATTTTTATGATTAGAGAAGATTATTAATAAATTTATGTTTATTTTTCGAAATGTGCAAATCTAAAAGGTGTAAAAAAGGGTAAAATTATCATAATATTATCTTATTTTGTTTAAAATTATTATATTATCTCCATTTGTGAAATATCAATTATAAATAATTCTGTTCTCATATATAAAACTTGTTATTTGGAAATATAATCTGTGTAAAAATATTAAAAACAAATTATTTTAGACTTTTAAATTGTGTGTTATCTATATTTATTAATATAATCGCCAAGGGTTTAAAAGAATTGCCAAAGTCCTCTTAAGTGAGGAGGCTGAATATAAAAAGGGAGTTAACCAGAATTCTCTTATCTGTAAGTAACCTTCACGCTAATATTTTTACATTAAAATCTGATGCAATATAAATGCTGCCCTTGTTATATTTTTTCAGTAAGCTCTGTCGCACATAAGTGCTGCCAAAATTTTTTTTACAATTGTGATTGATATTTTATGTATGTTTCGCTATTATGATATTTTACAGCTAGTTTTTAATAAACTCTTTTATTTTAAATATTTTTATTTCAATACAAAAATGCTTTATAAATAATATGATTTACACTAAATTAATTTATGCATAGATGAAAGTACTAAATATATACTATGCCCTCCATCAGCAACACAGAGACCATCACATTATTGGTTAAGTTAACTTGTTCAGTAATCAGAAAATATTCTAATGTAGGCTCTGCCCAGCTTTCCAAAACGTTGAACAAAAAACTATAGTTGAAATAGCCGATTGAAAAATCCCTTAATATAAATATTACTATTTGAAAATCCAATAATAACTTTTAAGATTTACAAAATTTTAATGCGAAAGTGAAAAGTAGTAAAGAAATTAAGCCAAATTATTATGTAAGATATTTAAGCCTAATTACAATACGCATAGTAGCGTATTCGTAAAGCATTCGCCTGTGACACTGAGCACTCCAGGTTCTAATCTGATAGTTGTCAAAAAAAAGTATCATTATTAATTTATATAGTCTCTCCTTAAATTTTATACATGAAGATGATCGAAAAATGATCATATTTCGCTTACGTAGTATATAAATATAGACGTGGAAATCCATTTCGAAAATATAAGCGTTTAATTATTTTTTTTTTAAATAAATATTTTTTTAAAAAAATATATCATGGACATCCTTGATATATATATTTTTTTAAAAAATAAAAAATTATCAACATGCCAAAATCTTAAATTATTATTTTAATTCTAATGATTATTTTTCTAAAATTAATTTTTGTGTAAAAATGAGTTTTTTATTTATTTCTTCTCTCTGACTTTTTTTTGAATAAATTTTAGCCAATGGCAAACGAATATTTGAACTTGGATAACAATTTTATATAGGCCTAAAAATTTTGGCAATTTGTTATAGTACAATTCTGTATGTTTTCTTTTTTTTTAAGATTAGATAAAATGAAGGAGTATTTATACGTTTTTAATTATTAATAATTCTGGCCAAAATATATTTTGTGATTTATTTTAAAACATTAACATTGTGTACTCATAAACAAAAAATTATAATTTTTTTTTTTTTTATAAAAAATAGAGAAATCCAATAAAATTCATTTTGACGCTTATAAATTATTCGAAAATAGGAATAACAGGAGTATCGATTTTTCCGAAATTCTATATCCTCCATTCTTAAGGAATGAACTGTTTAAGTAATTAAAATAATACATTTAGTTATTATAATAAATAAAATGACGGGAAAAAAAAGGAAGAAATTTGATATAGTTAAAGAAATTTAATTAGTCCTAATCATAATTACAAAAAAACATTAAATATATATAAATAAAATTATCATTGTACAGTAACTGATAATTCAAAATAAAATTATTTTGAAATTTATACATTTGTTTACAAAGTTTCTAAATAAAAAATTTTAATTATTTTTATGGACTTTTTGATAACTTTGTTATCAATAAGATAATATATATATATAAAATATTTTCATAGTTTAGAGAATATTCTATATTTGAATTAGGTTTTATTTTAGACCATATTTATAATTTAAACTTATCGGATTTCTTAAAGTTTAGAGAGTGAAGGTTAAGGTCAGAGTTAGTAGAAAGGTTATTATCAGGTATAAACTTATAATATATAATAGACTTATCATCATGCAAAAAAAAGCATGGTAAAACTACCATCTTGATGTCTATATTAATAAGTCGCTATTTATAATTTTTTTAAAATTAAAGTTTGGCAAAGAAAAGGGATTACAAAAAAATTAACCAAAAAAATTTTAAAAAATTTACATGTGTAATCTTCCTTAGGAAGATAGATCGACAGATTTCTAAATATATACTTTGAAGTATTATTAAATCTCTTGAAATCTCAGCTGTTTACAGTTATTATTTCACCAAGGTTTTTTATTATTAGGAATAGCTCGTTCGCAAAGATTCCCAAGGTGTTGAAAACTATAAACATGAAAATTACAATTTGAGAAGTTGATCTAAGCCTCTATAGGATGTTTAAAAAATGTAACCGTTCCCTATAGAGGAATATATAAAATCTAAGCTATCAATTTTTAAACTTCTCCCAGCGGTTTTTGTAATACTCATAATTTTATCTTGTCACAAAACCAAGATGTTAAAATAAAAGTATTTTCCCTCTTGGACTAAATAAAAATATTGTCCATAAGTTTATATGTTCTACTTCCGAAAAATTTTAACCGGTGCATACGAGACCAGGTTTAAACATTTTTTCGATTTTTCAAAGGAAGCGGGGGAAAAAAGGAGAAACGCGTTGCTAGTTACCTTGCAATAAAAGGAATGCGTTATTGGCTAATAAAAAAAACGTGTTACTCGTTACTTTAAAAAAATACAATATATATATGGTGAATTTCATGACAGATTAACATGAGTTTTAAAACGACCCCTTCAGATTTTTTTAAAAAAATCTTTACTAGAGTATATAATTTTGACCTTCAACTCCAAACAGTGGGCCAATCCTGGCCTGAAAATAAAAACCCGGGCCGGGCGGATAAAAATTTAAAAAAAAAGCCGGATCGGGCTATAATGTTACCTCGGCAGGTCTCTGATTTACATAAAATATTTAAAAGATTTTAGCGTAAACATTTTTCTTTTCTTTTTAGCTTTCACCTTTTCTTGTGTTAAGTTCCTTCAATATCTCTCTCCACTTTATGTTATTCATGCTATCTCTTTTATCTAATTTACACTTCTTCATATTGGCTCTAACTTTATGGCCCCATTGAAGTTTGGGCCTTCCTCTTTTACGTTTGCCCATCATTTCCAAACTCTTAACCTTATTTCCTGTATAGTTCATAGGCTTTCTCATTGTGTGCTCGTATCTGTTCACAATTAACTTAGTCATATAGGCACTACCTTTAAACTTCCTAGTATTCTTGTACTTCGCACCTTATTCTTTCTTGATATCCCAGCAATCATCCTCAGCATTCTCATCTCCATAGTTTGTAGACTTTTCTCCTCTGATTCTTTGGTTGGCCATGTTTCCGAACTGTATAGAATAGTTGGTTGTATTATGGACAATTTTTTCCCTTCAATTTGTGTGGGATTCTTTTGTCAAAGAGCGCTCCAGATAAAGATCTCCACTTTAACCACCCTTGATTAATTTTATTCTTTATCTCTTTCTCTATTGTGCCGTTTGTTTGTATAGTGGGGCCCAAATATTTGCAGCTTTCAATTGTCGATATTTGCCATTCATTTATATCCTTGCTTTCTGTTTCATCTCCTCCTAGCACCATATACTCCGTCTTTTCTCTGTTTACTTTTAGTCCGTGTTTTTTTAGGATATTTATCCAACTCACTAATCTCTCTTCATTTTATCCTTGGATTCGGCAAGTATCACAATATTATCTGCAAATATATTCCATGGGACTGTTGCTGCATAAACTGTGATAATACATCCATTACTGTTAATAAATTGGCTGAGAGCCGACCCTTGATGAACTCCCTCGGTTATTATGAAGCCTGCTGAAGTATCAGTTGTGCTATGGACCATTGTAGTATGGACCATATACATATTTGGGAACCTTTGGCGTAGCGCTTACCAGATAAGTTTTCTTGGGATTCTATCGAAGGTTTTTTCTAGAACAAGAAAGACCATGTGTAGCATTTTGTTCTTTTCCCTGTAATTTTAACTCATATGCCTAATTGCGTGGATTGCATCAGTTGTTGATCTTCCAGGCATAAAGGTAAATTGAGTCTCTCCTATTTCGACTATGTCTCTTAACCTTTTTTCTAAGATTTTTTCGTAAATTTTAAGACAATGTGACATTAGTTTTATGCCCCTGTAATTTTGACAATTGTGTGGATTCCCTTTATTTTTGAAGGTTAGATAGCTTTGCCTCCATTTTTGAGGAATCTCTTCGTTTCCCAGTATTTTATTGTAAGGATTTGTGAGGAAATATATTCAATCATCTCCTAGTGCTTTAAGACTTTCTATTGGAATGTCATCAGGACCTCTAGCTTTATTGTTTTTCATATGCTTGTGACATGTGATTATTTCTTGTACTGTTATTGGTTGTATAAGGTTTTGACATTAGTTCTTCATACATGTCATCCTATGTATTTTTTCACTGACTTGTGAGGAATCTATTATTTCAATGTTTGCATTGATTGCAAAGGCATCTGTCATTGATTTTAATCTACCCCATTTGAAACATGGTTCAAGTTTTATCTTGTTTTGAGTGGATTAGTTTGTAATGTGTAAATCCATGACTAGTAGCTTGTGTTGCGCTGCAATATCTTCTCCTGGGATGACTTTGCAGTCTATTACATCTTTTAATCTTCTGCGAGAGATAAGCAATCTATCTGGGTTTTCCTTGTACCACTTTCATATGTTATTAAATGACTATCATTTTTCTTATATTGGGTGTTGGTTAAGGCAAGGTCGAAGGCTTACGCAAATTTCAGTACATGCTCTCCTTCATCATTTCTTTCTCTATATCCAAAACCACCATGATGCCTTTTGTAGCTGTCTCTTGCCTTTCCCACGTGCGCATTTAAAAGTATATTGCATATCAAATATTTATGACGATTTTTTAAAAATCGACTAATGAATAAATGCCATATCTCCTAAACGTGAACTCAGCTCAACTTAAAATTTTGCACATTTATTATATAATTCTATATCCATATATTAAAAAATGATTTGAGAAAAATAAAAAATGCCGATTTGATTTTAAGAACTATGTTAGGTTTTTGACATTTAAGAATTATATAATTTTAAAGGCATACCATTAGGCTATCCTATAGAAATTTAAATGAGTCTACTAACTCAATTATATCCAAAAAAAATTTAAAATTAATGGAGTCAATTTTGCCCAAGATGCCCCATTTTAGACATTTAGAGGTCCATATCTCGGCCGTTGTTTGGAGCTGGGGGCTAAAATTTGATTTATAATATATATAAACTCTAGTGAAAAATTTAGAAAAATCTGAGGAGGTCTGGTTGAAAATCGTGTATTTGATTTGTCATGGAATTCACCATACACTTTCTTTTTATTTATTTTTGTTTCCCGTAGATAATAAAATTAAAATTATGCGAAAATAATATCTATAAGATGTTCTGTTTGTAATAATTGTTTGTTTATTTTTAACAACAACCGATTTTCAACATTTTTGATTGGATAAACAAGATTACTTAATGCTCCTCAACACAGCTTTCGCGGAGCTAAACACATGTTCAACTGGTTCAGAGGATGAAAGTTAATAATTAAGAAATTTTAATTTTGGGAATTCATTTAAAAAAAAATAGTTAAAGAATGATCCATATTTTCAAAACAATTTTGCTAGATCATCTTTACAAGAAATCATCGATATGTTTTCTTTCATTCTTTCTTTCTTTCTTTCTTTCAAATTTTTGAGCTGCTAGACATCAAGATTGAAATATTTGAATTAGGGCACAATCTACATTTACAAAGTGTGGACTTAGTGCTCTTGATTTTCTTTATTTCTTTAAAAAAATGAAGCCAGGATAGAGTTAAATCATCTTCATCCGAAGAAATAAGTATTGTTGACTTATTTTATTTATGAAATAATTTATAATATTGGATGATATAGATTAGCATATCTTGATTGATTCAATGTTTATTAGATTATCAATAATCGACTGTTCAAAGTTCAACAACAAAAATTAATAAATAAAATTTCGAATGAAGTGGTAGCTAACCTGAATTAAAAGTTCGGCTAAAATTATTGATAAAATTTTTTAATAAATGAAAATATATTATTCGCATATCATTTAAGAATATTTTTAAAGTAACGAGTGACGTTTTGCATTATACCGTTATTCAAAAAAAAGAAACGAAGGTAACGTCATTAGTAACGCCGTTACTTTAATCGACTTACATTAGAGCACAGTGATAGAAATAAAATTAAAAAATGTTAATGTTTTTTCTTATAAAGGATATCTATAAATTAAAAGCATTAGGTAAATATAATATTTTTTTAAAAAATTTTACCTGGGTTTAGGTTCGGTTCGATAAGAAATTTAAGATCGAGATTGGAAAAAACTGAGTACGAGAATCCGTCTAAGATCGCCGATTTATTTTTTGGCTGGATTAGGATAGGTCGGCTCGTACATAGCCTAAGTTTATATGTTAGCTGTAACATTTATATGTATATTTACGAATATTGTAGTTTTTCCGAACGAGATCAGAATAGAAAACGAATCTGAATTGATCCTACCTTTCAAACTAATCCACGAGGTGTTCAAATATAAATGGGTAGCGCCTCATATCTTTTGTTGGATATTCAAGGTCCCAATCTATTGCAGAATAGAGCAAATGGAGCCGCCTACTAAATTGTTAATTTTTATATAAATCAAACTAAATATGTTATTGCATTTCATACTTGTACAAGAAATTCATTCGCATTCCTAAAGCATTCATTCATTATATTTAAATTTATTATGTGTGAATCTTTCTTTCTTTCTTTCTTTCTTTCTTTCTTTCTTTCTTTCTTTCTTTCTTTCTTTCTTTCTTTCTTTCTTTCTTTCTTTCTTTCTTTCTCTTCTAAAATATTATAATATTAAATATTTTAAAAATGAAAGAGACACTTTAGAAAAGGGTTTCGGACCCGAAATTCGGGTTCAGAAATTTAAAATCAAACCCGGGGTAATATAGATCCGGGGCGGGTTAAATTATTTTTTATAAAATTGGTTTTCGATCAAGTTCCTGTTATCAAATTATCTGTACCCGAATTCTCGTCCAGAATCCTGCTTTAGAGAGATGTTTCTATCAATGAGAGAGATGGAGTTGAGTGCCGGAGCAAAAGAATCAGAATATTGTTCGAGACATTTTCTGATTCTGAACCATTCTTAGATGACTAATATTTATTGAATTAGTCATTCATACGTAACATGATTATGAATTTTGATATATATTAATCTTTTATTTGTATGCTTTATAAAAATAAATTATTACTAGATTTCGACGCTTTTTTAATTATATATTAAAACCGTAATTAAGATACAACATAAAATTTTCACACGGAATCTTCAAATGGGAAATTCATAGATCTCTATCCGATTTAAAAATTTTGGATTTCCGGTTGAGAATATTCAAATACAAAAAGAAATTATTTTCAAGGTTAAAAGATATCAATTTTTTAAGAAAAAAGAAAGAAAAAAAGAAAGAAAAAAAGAAAGAAAGAGGAAGGGAATTAAGGGAAAGGAAGGGAAGGTTATGGAAAGGAAAAGAAAGAGAAGGAAAGGAAAGAATGGGGGAAGATGAGAAAGGAAGGGAAATGAAAGTATTTTTACGACTAAAGAATTTCACTTGAAACACGAATTTGAAATAAAATTAAAAAGGATTTGAAAATGAAAATGAATTGAGTTAAAAACAAATTTGAAATTAGTTCCTATTTATTGTAAATCATAGATCCTTTTAGCCAAAATACTTAATGATAATTTTCAACAAAATGGATTCTAAAGTATATCAAAGATAACGCGAATTTGCAATTCTAACATTATAAGAATTAGATGATATGTTCAACTATATATATAAAATTAAACTTATTATATAAGATTCTGGAAGGAAGGAAGGAAGGAAGGAAGGAAGGAAGGAAGGAAGGAAGGAAGGAAGGAAGGAAGGAAGGAAGGAAGGAAGGAAGGAAGGAAGGATGCATGGATGAATGGATGGAAAGAATGAAAGAAGATTTATTATTCTAATTTTGTTATCTTTTTTAAACTATTTCTTTTTAAGAGATTACTCAGCTACCCTCAAAAGTCTTCCTACCAACAAAGACTCAAGTGATGAACAAATCGTATTAATAATTTTTTGAATTTGATAGAATTTTTATATCCATAAATATTTGTTATTCGCCATCATAATATTGACCACTCATCGGTCTACATGGGCTGGGCTTACCCGTAACCCAAAGCAGAGGCTTGCATTAGTCCATAATCTTAGACTGACTATTTTTTATATTGAAACGATGGGCTTACCTTCCTGCGAGTCGAGGTAGGCAAATATTAAATACACAGAGCTCTTCATTTGTTTCAACAATGACATGTAATTTACGAATTTGGTCATCTACATTTGCCCTAATTTCTTTAAATCCCAATAATATGATTCTGTAATCTATTGTCATACTCTAATCGATGTAATTTTTTTTAAAAAAATTTAATTTTAGTTTTTTTCAGGAATATATTATATAAAATATAAATTTATAGTAATAAAACGGTAATATTTTTAAAATATTTTAGCCGACCTTTTGGCTTATAAGAGAATTTATCCCGCACCCTCTCGTCACGTATTGGGCATCATGGCTCAGAAGATCAGTTGTCCCAAGATAAACAGAAAATAAGATTTAAAAAAAAGCTAAACGTTGGGCCTTATTAACGTTGTATTTTTTCCTAAAAAAAACACTTTTATATTTAAAATTTGAAGTAGCATCTTCTAAACTGTGCACGCTTAACATTAAAAATACATTTTTTTAAAACAAAACGAAATCGTTTCAATTTGTATGGACTATAACACTATTTCATTATATTGGCGACAATGTATTATTTTTTCAACTTTAAATCATTTTTGGAGCAAATTTAAAAATCTAATTTTACAGAAAATGTATTCCATCATGTTTGGAATACATACCTCTGTGAATTTAAGAATACCTTGTCATGAACATTTGAACTTATTATAATTTCTATTCGTTTTTCCACAGATTTTTCATATGAATTATAGATGGCTCAAAAGTTAACTGTAAAAATTTTCTGAAATTCATAAGATTGATACTGCATTTCGGCAAAATCATATTTTTTAAATTTAAAAAAAAAACGTGTTCAAAAAAATTATTTAAAGTTCAAAAAATAACACATATCCGGGAAAAACACATTGACGTTAACATATATATTTATAAATTAAAAGGATATAACTAACATATTTAAATAAGAAAAATATAAAACCGTTTTTTAATTTTTAACTTTTCTAATTATAATTATTACTGAAATAGAAGATCAGAAATTTATATATAATTTATCAGAAAATTGGCTTCTTTTTTAAAAAAAATAATTTATCACTCTAGTTTGAATTATCTGTAATTAAATTTGAGGCATTGATAAGCCAAGAATAATTACCTTATTAATGAGTCAATTATATTATATTTAAAAAAAAAAAATATATATATATAGGAAATATTGGAGGAATATATGAAAACAATCCTGTCATGTGTCGAATTGAGAAATCATAAGCAAACAGTTAAGTATAATTCCTATTTTTTTTTAAACTTAGTATTATGTTAATCATCAAAGAAATAAGGGATAAATTTGGATTGTAGTAATTATAAGGGTAGGAATCATATGTATTTCTTTCCTTCATTTAAAAAAAGGTTGACTTTATCTAAAATAAAGACGGATATATTTCTATTTTTTCATAAATCTTTGCCAAGAAGCAAAGGAAATACTAGTAATCATTACTTACTAATAAGGAAATACAAAGACTATGAAAGAAAAACAAAATATTATAATGCAGATATCAAATATCATTTCCTTCAACAAGAGATTAACTATAATAATATTTATAATTTAGTTATTATATTAAGATTACTTCAATATTCATATTACTAAATTATTTTCTCCAAATTAAAATGATAAATTGAGAATATTATAAAAAAATAACTTGAGAAATGAAATATTGTTGATGTCGAATATAACAAAAAGTTGCGAAGTAATGGTAATATACAGTTATTTCTCGCCGTTTAAATTATTCCCGCAATTTTATATAAAATAAAAAGCTAATGTTCTGCAATGTTAGTTACATCTCTTTCAACAAGGAATACGGTTGCGAGAAAGGGAGAGAAGAAATTTGTTATAAAAGACCTGGTGGTTATTATGGATTTAAGCTGAAACATGGTTGTACTTATTGGTTTCTAGGATGGCAAAGAAGGTTTTATTTTTATATTAAATCTTCACTATGATTTTTGCAATTTATTTTTTCATTTATCATTTATAAAAATTACTAATATTGTTTTTTTAAAATACCCAATTTTATATAAATAAATTTCATATTATGAATTTTGAGAAGAGAACATAAGAACCGAAAGAATTTAGAATCAAAACATCAACCATATAATTTGAATTCTAATGTAGTTAAATTTTTATAGTGTTTAATTTCCATTTTTTGATAATTTTTTTTAAATGTTAGATCTAATAAATTATACATTTTCTAAGGGGGGGGGGCATATTCTTGCTAACATATTACGATTCCGTAAGAGAAAATATTTTAGATAAATAAGTTACGAAAAAATTTCCAGGGATTTAAAGTCTTATAGATATAATTTCTGCATACCATATGTCACATAAATTCAGATTACAATATTGGCGTCATTTTTCAAATAAAAATTATTTGCCAAACATTGAAATTATAAAATTATATCTTGGTATGAAAAAAATAAATATTGGATAAGTCTAATAAAAATTTCAGGCAGTTTACTCATTTATCATCTATATTATAAAAATTAAAAATATCACAAATTTTGGCTAGTAATTGAAATTGAAAAATAGAAAGGCTAATTTCGTTTCCTAGCAATGCAATCATCTTTCATTTTTCCCAACATCTCTAAATTTAAGATTAAATGATTGTTAAGAGCTAAATTTTTAGGATTCTTTGAATTTAGTTGATTCGAAAAGTTTTGAATGCTAAGAATTGTGAACCTACCAAAGAAGATAACACTTTTGATGATTTAGTTATATGCAGCCCCTAAGGATTTGTAAGAAAGTCTAAATCTACTTGTCTTCCTGAATTAGTTCCCTTGTGTATATGTGCTTATTAAAAGAAAACCCCAGATAAATATAAATTACTTGATAAAATTAGGGAGTGTGGACTATAATTTATTGGATCCCACGTATCACACACCGACCCCTAGAAATATTGAATACGAAGCCGATGTCAGTCATTAGTAAATATATATAAAAAATTTGAACAAGGTTCTGAGTTCATTATATTATATTATATTACTAGGTGGCTCAAAAAAGTCCTGGTTTTGAATTCTTTATAATAACTCTAAATCGCATCGTTAATAAAAATTTGTATTTATTTTAAAAAAATATATTAAGCTCAATTTCCACAATTTTATTTAGAATTTGAATGAGTCGATTTTTCAAAAATTAAGATCAAAAAATGATAAAACTTGACACCCAGCTAAAGATAAATAGTTTGTTAGGTAATTAACATTACCTTACATGCAACATCGGGGCATGCTTTGTTGAAGTTGGGAAAGGCACGAGGGTCCTTACTAAAATTTGACATATTGAATTTCTTCAAGCAAAAGATTAGGGTAGGCTCTGTGGACGTCTATAATGCACACTTACCAAATATTATTATCAAAAGATTTTTTGTTTTTTAAATAGCAGATAAAACATTAATTTATTATTTAAGAAAATAAATATAATAGATTTGTAAAAACTAAATGGAGGTGAAAAATCATTCAAAAATTTTCTATTCGTGCAAGGTTTATTAACCACGTTTGGTTACATTATTTAACCTATCATATCTTTATAAAAAATAATTTTGTTTGTTAGGCACAAAATATTATCCCATAAAATAAGAAAAAAAATGGAGGTAGAACAATATAACATTTAAACAGCTATATTATTTGAATGGTTTAAGTAGTCTTGGTAAACAGCCCTATTTAAGCCGATTTTTAAAAACGGCTAACTCAGTATTGCCATAAAAATATTGCCTTAAGCCTCGAAATACCGTTAATAGATGTTCAAACATTCGTGCCTATATATGGGCCAAATTTTAAGGCTTGAATAAATTTTTCTAGAGAAAATATTGAGTTAGCCTTTTTTTTTTAAATATCGGCTCAAAACTAGCCGTTTAGCGACAAAAATAGTTTTAAGGTAGGAACTCTTTCATATTTTTAAATATTTACAAGAATCATATCATTGCTATATCCTAATTTTGTTTGTATGAATATGTTATTATTAAAGATGGTTAGTATTGAAGAAACCTTTCATGGCTTACATAAATATGAAAGACCAGAGGATAGGAGGTGTAATATTGCTGGACAATAATTTGGACGTTGGAGTTTCCCCAAGGTCAATGTATAGATTAGTAGCTATAAATAGAACTAGGTATAAAATACTTATTATTTTTTTGTAAATTTTGCTCCAAATAAACAAACAATGGGGTAGGCATAAAAGAAGGAAAATAATAAAATAAAATAAAAAAAAAAAAAAATTTTGAAAAAAAGAGAAGATAATCATAAATAAAAAAATAAAAAAAATTAATTTCGAAAAAAAAAAGAATTTTTAAGTTGAAATTCCACGAGGAAAAAAGCTCTAAAGAATGGTCAACGGATATTTGTCAAATATGCGATAACAGTTATTACCAATCCTTTAAGATTGAAAAAGAGCCAATAAGTAATGAAGACGTTATTTGTACAAATAAGGCGAATGTCGATAAAGGCAGCGAGATCGGTAATAATATTAAAGTTTTTTTGGCTTTTTTTCTATGCCTTTTATGTATTTTTAAAGTAAAAAACGTTTTTTTTTAAAAATAACATCGAGAATTTTTACATGATATGTTAGGGAAACCCCATACCGACTACTAACATGTCTTTGCAGAGATTATACAAACTCTATTAAATGTTTAAATATTTCAAAAATATGGAGAAATGGATAAAATGGTGGGAAGTAGGCTGAGCTATCGTTACAATTCCTTCGCGTCAGAGAGATTAGATTGTTACGCTTACTGGTAAAATAAATAAAAAATTGAAATAAAAAGAAAGAATTGAAATAAAAAGAAAGAATTGAAGAAAAAAAGAAAGACTGGATGATTTAAAAAATAACTTAAAAACATTTAGGAATCAATAATAAATAATTATTTTGATTGTGTTCCTAAAAAGGAACAATATTTAATTTTATATTCTGTCTAAGGAATGAGACGTTCAAGTGTTTGTATTAAAGAAAGAAGGAATGGGAAAAAAAATAAAGCAATCTTGAGACCTTTCTGTGAATATATACATATATCCAATATTTAGGTTCGTAGATGGATCACAATACTTTTCAAGCTTAGCTGATGCTCTGTACTCTGCTAGAAAAGAAATTTACATATGTGATTGGTGGTATATTTTTGCTTGATATAAAAAAAATATAATCAAATTTATGTTTCACAGTATTCATATTATCTTATTATGATACAAAAAAAAATATTACAATAGAGTTGTAAAGCATATGTAATATTCTGGCTGAGTAAAATTATTTCAATAAACCTTCAGACCATATAGGAATTTACTCTAATTTACTCTAATTAACATAATTTACTTGTTTAGTGTATTTATTTGTAAGCTTTCATTTTTTTTTATAATTAAAGAGGGGGGGGGGAGGAGGCACTTGCTAAAGTTAAAAGACATTATTTAATTAGCCCACGTGTCCCTAATTTTAATAATGGAAGTAGTTTTAATGATAATTAGCTAAACTTATATATCATAATCGCTATAGTGATAAATAAAAAATTATTAATTTATATGTAATATATTAAGTCATTCTTTAACTAAGAAAACATTATGTAAATTTTTTTTAAAGATAACCTTATTATTAGAAAATTGATTTAATATAACAAATATGATTTAAAAAAATTAGGTTGAGTCCTCAATTGTATTTAAAAAGACCTCTGCATAATGATTGCATCGAATGGAGATTAGATACAATCTTGAAAAAAAAAGCTGTAAGTTATTGATTACGTATAAAATTTATAATTTCAAAATTATTTACCGTAAATGGGGAGATCATATAATTTGAGTTATTGTATATGAATTTCATATTCAAAACGATACGTAAAATGCCAAATAGGCCATATAATTTTGGCCAGGTAGGGCCGTGCAAATGGTACTTATTGTAGGTCTCTGATATTCTGATATATACTACTACACACATAAGTTGTTTACTTTCGTAATTTTTTGTCCTTTTTAATTTTAAACTCCCTTAAAAACCTATATTCTATTCCCTACCCACTAAAAAAAATTTTGGCGCCTTCAGTGGGGATGAACTCACCTATTAAATACAAAATTTCAATTATAATTACAATCCTTTCATATATATTGCGATAGATATCTTTATCTATACTCTACTTATAAACAATCAAAAAATTGTGAATGTGAAAGAATTATTATTTTTTTAAGAGACCTCTAGGGTCCGACCCTATGCTCAGCTCAGCCCGTATTTTTTTAAACCATAGGGCCGGTTAGCCGGGTTTAAAAAAAAATCAAATATTTTAAAATGCCAATATAATCATAAAAATTGAAAATAAATATAATTCCGGGCCAGGCCTGAAAATTTTAATTTAAAAAGAAATCCGGGCCGGGCCTGAAAATATAAAGCCGGGTAGGAATGTATTTTTAAAATCCGGGCAGAGCTTTGCAAATGATACCTCTTACAGATAACCGATTTTATGAGATTGGAGTTGATTTAACATAATCTTTTTTTTTTCAATTTTTAACCTATGGAATTTTGTATCGATAAAATTATTTTTATTTCTTCAGATTTTTTTTATTTCTTCAGATTTTTTTAGTAACGGTAGGTGTTTTTAAATTCACTGAGTGAGCTTACCCGAGCCTCAGATTAAGCTTTCAATCATAAAAACTACCTCTGATTTTGAGGTGACCTTGAGTTAATAGATTATCTCGCTATAGTCAGCTCTAGAAACATCTTAGGTCGCCTTCAGAACCCTTTTAAAATCTACCTCAGATCGAGTTCAGAGCCTCCTAAGGTTGCCTATAAAGCCATCTAGGGTGTGGGATAAAAGAAATTTTTTAGTTTTGCCATTTATTTTTAATCTAGGAGAAAAATAAATAAATAAAAAATTTTGCTTAAGGGGGGGGGGGGCGGTGGTTAAAGACATTTTTAGCAACATTTTTTGAAAAATATAATGTGTTCAGGTTTGCAATCAACTAGGTGGTGGGAGAGTGGAATAAATTCTCCCCCCTTCCCCCCTGTAACAAGAATTTCTGAAAAATATAACAGGGCTTCATGAATTGTGAATTGAATCTAAATATTAGCAAAATGTTAAAATTAATTCAAATATTTATTTCTTATAATTTTATTTCACGAAAATTTAAAAGTTAATTTTCTTGCATTTTTTAAACCAAAAAAATTATTTTTTCAAATTTTTTTTTTAATGTGAATTAAATACTCTGGTTAATTAAATTAACATTGTAAAAGAAAACTTGGTTGATTGAGATAAGCAAACTTCGCGGGTTAACAACACTATTCTTAACACTTTTCGATTATCGAATGACTTTAACATTTTTTATATTTCCTGTGGAGAAAAAAAAAGACAGTGGTTTCTAACTATATTATGCTACTAAAAACATTTAACCTGGCTAAAAAATGGTATAATTTTTTAATATTTTCCGTGATCCATTGAATGAATGAGTTGATTCTAAAGTCAATTCTATGTGATTCTATAGAACACATGAGATGATTCTAGAGCAGACTCGATTGAGGTAACTAATTGATCAAAAACTCATCTCAAGGTAAGAAGAGGATTTTTTCCGCTTCTATTTTAAGCATGAATAGAAAACATACACACAAATTATATAATTAAAATATTTCAAATTCTCTCCCCATTTTATCTGTAATAAAGATTCTTAAGCGATGGATATCCCAAAAATTTATATTGAAAAAAATTATCTTCTAATAGGATTTTTTTTTATAAGAGTGGAATTGAATATAATTTAATTCGAGTCATCTATTTATATTTAGGAGCAAGGTGTAAAGATATTCATATTGATATACAAAGAGCTCCCTTTCGCACTTGGAATCAACAGTTATTACACCAAACAATTTGTATCTAATCTTCACCCTAATATATACGTAAATTTACATTACGAATTAAAACTCTTTTACTATGCTATTATTTTTTACATATCTTTATTAGCTAAAATCTTACAAATTACAGATACAGGAATACAGGAAAAAAAAAATTTTTTTTTCTTAAAAATATTTAAAGATTCTGAGGCACCCAGACCATCTATTATCCAATGTTTTTGTATGGTCTCATCATGAAAAAATAGTTTGCATAGATCAAAGCATAGCGTTTCTAGGTGGGTTGGACATATGTTATGGTAGATGGGATGATCAAGGTCATAGGTTAGGTTATCTTAAAAAATATCGTATAATGTTTTAATCTTGTAGAAAGCAATTTTCTAAATAAATAAGATTTTTATTCATATAATACTCACCAGTGATTTATATAAGTCCTCGAAATTATTATATTGTTCTAACTACATTTTTTTTGGGGGGGGGGGATAATTAAATTTGATTTATTTCTTTTTTGTTTGAAAAAAATATTTCTTCCCTTCATTTATTTTCATTAATTCAAATAAAAAGTCTTTAAAAAATGTTAAAAAATTTATACAAATAAGGTTTAGGTTTACATAATAATAAAATAATATTTTGTCTAGATGTCTCTGCAACGGGTGAGCGGGCGGGTTAAAAATGTTTTTAAAAATGACGGGTGTGTTAGCTACATTTTATAATATTTTACATGTAGAATGAAGAGGACTGGCTTATATTTAATTTTTTATTTCTTTAATTTGATAAATTTAAGTTAAAAATATTAAACATTGAGAAGAAAGGACCTAAACTTAATTTAAATAATTGATCAAGGGAAGTGCATTAGATATGTAGTTCGTTCCATATATCATTTTTCGAAAAATCCTAATTAAACTTGTATTATTAAGTAACAAAAAATTGAAATTTTATTCTAAATTAATTATTTTAATTGAGTTTTAAATTTTCATCAAATATATTAATAGCCTTTAAATTATTGTATCAATTAAAATTACTATCATGTAAAAAAATTTTTACAAAGTTGGAAATGGATCAATACGAACGATTATAATTATAAAGCTAAAGCTGTCTTTATAAACTGTGGCTCAATTATTATAATGACCTATTTCCAGAGGTAACCTAAGGTTAATAAGACTGACACGCTGTAACCATGATGATAGGGTGAGTCCTGCTTCGACTGTTTTTAAATGACGCATAAAAAAGAAACCCCAAAATAAAATATTTGCCTTCAAATAAATCTCTCCCCCTCTCAACTGAAGCCTTCTGGCTACAGGCCTCAAGATTAATAAAATGTTGAAAGAACCGACGTCGAGATTTGGTTATAACTTAGATATAAAATATTCCAAACTCAAATTGAATCAATTGTAAAATCTTCATTGAAGAATATTATAGATTTATTTCAACAAACATACCATATTTTTAAACGAAAGAAAAGCATTGTTTTAAATAAGATGCACGGGATAATGGCACTCATTAGATAGGATGATAACCACAGCTAGAGGATGGAAAATATTAATTTCTGAAAATGCGTTATTTAATCTTACGTTAGGACGTTTACCTTCACCGGGTGATTGATGAACAGATGGCATTTGAGCAGATTTGAGTGCCTACGTTCTATGATCAAATTCTAAAAGGCGTGTCTTAAGATTAGAACATTATAAGAAAAACAGCAAAAGCTGAATCGTCCATTCCCATCAGCGAGAGAGCTGAAGTCTAAGCAATTATGAGGTTGAGTTGGTTATCAGGCAGTTTAAATGGGTCCCAGTGACAGTTTTTCTTAACTGAAATTACTGTGGCAATGGCCTCAAGCGTGTCTCAAGCCGTTTAAAAGTGAATAAAGGGTGGTTAGTTAATTTTACCCTTGTAAGGAGAACCGCTTGTAAATGTTGATCTTAATATTTCAATCCGTTAGCTTAGGTTAAAAGAGCATATGTCAATCGTAATCTTCCAGCAAGATTCATAAATTCCCATAATTATAATTATATTTTTTTTCTAATTCAATTTGGTTTTTAAAAAAAGAATAATTTTTGAAAACAAAAAAAAACCTTCGTATTTTACAAACAACATTTTTTTCCGTCTTATAAAATATCGATTGAATGAAAAATAATATCTTTCAACCAATGACATATAATAAAACCTAGAGTGATGATGCATTCATTAAAGGTGTATATCAACGAAAACAGCTGAGAAAGCCTTTACCCAATTTTAAACGAGAGGCCAATTTATTCCTATGTCTGACTCGAACTTTATTAATGAATTGCCTGATCATCGAGATTATGAGGAAGTAAGTTATCAAATACATGAGAATAATTACTCTATGGATTACCAAAATGGCGGATCCAGCTGATTTGCATTCAACGACGCTCTAGATATTATATATCATTGCCTCAACTTTCGTTTAGCAATGGAAATTTGCTAGAAATTTTTATCAATTTCTAAATAAAAATTTCGAGTTTATTTATTGTAATTATTTTATGCTTGTTAATATGGGAATTAGTGAAATAAAAACTATGATAAAATAAATTCAAAAAAAAGCCTAAATGTATATCAACCAAATTTTGAAAATTTTAATAAAAACTGAGAATATTCGGGTGTGATGGGCGTGATCAAAATAACGCCTTTCGTGATCGGATGGGTCGGGTCAATTTTTTTTTATTATGGTGAGCGGACGGGCCATGAATAAAAACTTAGGCTGGTGCCCACCTCTAATTGAAACAAAATTAGATACCTTTAAAATCTAAGATATTTCGCCAAAACCCTTTGATACCATGGATACCGTATCGGCTTACAGTGTCGCGATATTTTAACAATTAATAATTTCAAAATATAATTATATTATAAATTATTTTAAAAGATTGACGGATGTTGGTGTTAAAGAAATATCATATGTAAATCCAAATTATATTAATTGTTACATTTATACACGTCTATTTTATATTATTTATAAACGCGTTAAACTCAAAATAACATTATTTTTCTAATTATTAAATTTTTTTAAAATTAATTGATATTTAATTACGTATTTTTTTATTTATAATAGAATTTTCATGAGAGTGGGGAATACGATCCGCATAGATATTCTAAAATGTGGAAGGATTATGGTGGTAGAATAATACGCGGGATACAGAGACCTACTCCTGCTCTTTACGAATTGATAAACGCCGCAACTATACTAAAAGATAGCAAAATAATACCGCCATATAGGGCCAACCTGACAGTTTTGAATATACCACTATTTTATTTTTTTAATATTAAATCGAAAAAAACTATTTACCCCTGCCTTGGCGAAATATAAATGTAAAAATTAATTATATTTATTTCATATCTTTGTATACTTCCCCGCGATTCACGCTAACTCTGAATGCCAGACGCAACTTATACAGTCCTACATAGAATATTTTTTATGGTAAGCGGAAGTTAATTCCCCCGGGAAAACTTTCAATTTTTTTTTCTGTGAGATATGAAGGGTTATTTTTAAAAAAAATTTTCTCCCGGAAATTATCTCAAGTTTTCATTTTACTGGTTGTGTTCTTTCCGAAAAAACTTGATATTTTTTTGTTCTAATATTCATTTTTTTTTCTCGTTTTTTGTGTGTCTTCAATTTTTTTCTTCTATAATTTTGTTTTTTTTTCTTCTTTTAATTTTTAGGTTTATTTAGTCAAAGCTTTATAATGCCAGTTTCTTAATAATAAGTCAATCAAGGCACACCCATTAGGTTTAGATGTTTGACTATTTTTTTTTCTAAAATTGAATTCTCTCATGATATTTGTAAAAAAATGACAGAATCATATATCAAGCTTAAATAAATTTTTATAAGTTATTAGTAAGTACCCTAGTTAAAGAGCTCGATTAGAGTCGATTTTTAAAAAAGGACTAACTCAATATTTTATCCAGAAAAATTTAACGCAAGTCTAAAGAGTTTGCCCATGAGTGGCACAACTGTTTGGACATCTACTAGCAAAATTTTGAGGTTAAGGGCAATATTATGCTGCATAAAGAGGATAAATTTCACAATTTTTCTATGCTAACAGTGGCGTAGCTAGAAATTTTCCTTAGAGGGGGTCCATACATATAAAAGCCTGAAGGGCTTCGCCCCCCAGGCCCCCTTAAACGGGCCGTTGGTCCTTTTGCCCGGCCTTTGGCCGGGTTTATCTTTAAAATCATAACCATATCTTCGATAATACATAATAAATATATTTTTTAAATGCATCAATAATATGTTATTATAATTTAGTAGATTATTCTTAATGACTTTATAATAATACTACCCAAAATAATTTCAATAGTAATACAATATCCTTTCACAAACATCAAAACCAAAAAATATAAATATTAATGGTATATATTTGATATATAATTGAACATGTATTGGATAAACCTCGACGCATAGGCAATATTTTCCTGGCTATAATGTTGAGTTAGCCGTTTTTAAAAATCGGTTCAAATCGGGCCGTTTAACAACACTAGCCAGGCTATAATTTTATATGCGATTATGATGATTACTCCTGGCCACTCATTCCCATTTTTTATCAAATGGCATTTAGATTATGAAAATAACAAAACTAAATAAAGAGTAAAAGTTCTATTTTTTTAAAAAAAAAATTCTATCTATAAATATTACTTAATTTGAAATGAATAGATTTTTTTTTGCTAAACAAAAAAAAATTTATGACAAAATATTTGTCAATAGTGTACCAAAAAATTTTTTTTTTAAATAATATTTCACAATTTGATTGATCAAACGGGTAATAGGAAAAAAACCCCCGGAAAATAAACCTCCAGGAAAAAAAACCCCCGGAAAAAAATATCAAGGGGGGTCATAAGAAGCAATTCTCAATCCCAAACATGTCTTGAACGATTTCCTCCCGAAACCTGGAACGTGAATCAGAGCACTCTCTCAGATGAAGAACGAATATAATCAATGCGAAGGTTGGAATCGTCGTTTATCTGGTTGGGAATAAACACCCATCAATCTGATTACTCATTAAAAAAATGAAATGCGAGGTGGCTGCCGATGAAACCAAACTTGAAAGATGGCGCGTAGGTAGTTGGACATCGAAAACAAAATCGTAGAATTCTAACAACCAGATTCGGCTAAAGAAACTTTGCGACCGTGATGGGGTGCGAAGCCTTCCAGATTTTATAAGAGCGATTTCCTTCAATATTCGATGTCAACCCATATAATTATTATTATAAATTATAAAATTTGTATATACATAATCATGATTTACCAATAAAATAAACATTTCTTAGTTCTAAGTTTTGTCAAATTTAGTCTATTTAATATCATATTTAAAGATGGTATTGTATTTTTACTATAGCAATTTTTTTTTACAATACATAGTTATTTTACTGAGGCATTTTTTCCCAGTACCAATTTAAACATCAGTTTTTCTTATTTAAGCATTTTTTTATGGAGTAGGCCAAATAAAAATATACCTATTATTAGGTCTTAAGTGAATTCTATAAAAATGAAAATAATTCTTGGGGAATTTTTTTCCGGGGGTTTTTTCCGATGTTTTTTTCCAGGGGTTATTTTCCGGGATTCGATCAAACGTATATGGACATACGTAGAGTTATTATGAATATACACATGATAAGAACTTAGAAATAACACTTATGACACCTTATCCCTGGTCTCTCCTATGCTAAAGTTGTTCCGGTAGGAACATAAATTTTCAACAATCTTTGTTAATATTTTAATTATAAAATATTATTTTTATATTATCTTATTCAAATAAAAAAATCTAACTAATAACGAGGCCCACTGGAATTTCTTGCAAAATATTTTGAACTTTACAAAAAAACGTTCTTATAAAAAATATATCAAAAACACCTACGATAACCCAATGGCAAATGAAGATCCCCATCTTGAATATAAGAATTATAATTACCAAGATTTAAATAATAATAATAATGTGAATCAAGAGAGCCCAGATAAAAATGTTGGAAATAATTCGGAAGTCTTGGTTAAAGAAGAAAGGATATTATTTGATAACAAGGACAAAATTAAAGATTTAGATCTTATAGGAACGGGGAAATATTGGATAGGAAAAGATTACAGTAACTTCATTTACAAAGATTTTGCGCAGGTAGATGAGCCCTTCACTGGTTAAATTTTTATCTTAATAATATTTTTATATGATTTACGTGTGTGTTTAGTTGGTCTTTATAATTATATTTTGGAAAAAATGCAAAATTTTTTATAAGATTTTAAATTATTTCCGCTTTAATATTTTAACAATGAAATATACCAAACAAATCCATTATTTTTCTAAATTTTTTTATAAATGTTATAATGGGGGAAAAAAAGAGCTTATTGATAGGAACAAAATTCCTAGGATGCCATGGCATGATATATCAGCTGTTCTATACGGGATTCCGGCCAGGGATGTAAGCCGCCATTTTATAGAGAGGTGGAACCAAACTGTTGTAAATATATTATCAAACTATTACAAAATTTTCTTCTATACATACATAACTTAGAAATAAATATTATTAAAGATGTTAATTTTGTTTTTGTAATTTCATATTATAGTGAGATTTTTAAAATGGCATTTTAAAATATTTAAATTTGATATAGTATAGGAACATCAAAATATTATATGAAATATTTTAATAATAGTTTTCCCAATATTTAACCAAAACATGAAAATTTATCACTACTGAATGTATTGGAATGCGATAAAATTTGGAATATCTCAAAGGAGGAAATTTTTGAATTTAAAAAATCTGATATGACCGGATATATTCCACCATGTATAAAAACCAACATATAAATTTAATTTTAGTCAATTTAGCCGCTAACTTTAGAAAAAAACTCATAAAAATAAAAACATAAAAAGTTTATTGCAAAAATTATCTTTGTTTTCTCATATGGTTATACGCTTTTTATACATCTGCTGAAATACTTCGGTCAAACAAGATTTTTAAAATTTTAAACTATAATCTAAAATGGAGAGAATTCCAAATCTCTGGATATCCCAATATGACATATATAAATTAACGATTTTAAATTTATTTTTTTGATAAAATTTTATTTTGTATTTTTTAAAAGGTTGAAAAATTTAAAAAGGATGATAATTTTCCTCTATTGTTGCCGAAAAGCTATGATGGCTTGAGCAATATTCCAAAAAATATCACTGATTCTATGATACAATGCAGGGAAATTCAGGTTTAAATTACCTTTATTTAATTTTAAACACATCAATGAAAACTTAATTTTTTAAAAATAAATATATATTAAATCCAAACTATATAATTAATTTAATATGAGATCTCTTATGAGCATAATCTCTTGGCTTGCTTAGTATTTTTCTGGATATTGAGTTAGCCGTTTTTAAAAAAATCGACTCAAAGAAGTCTTTTAACAGCACTAGTTGCATGCACAGAACATCATATATTTTAAAAAATATTTTGATATTATCGCGGGACCTTTTAATTAAACTTATTATTCAATTATTCGTTATATTGTTTCAAAGGAATAAAAAAAATATTTTCTCTTATATAATTTATTTTGCGTATTATTATTATAATTAATTATGACTAAATGATATAAAAAATTAATCATAAGTTGTAACTGTAACTGTATCTTATATCCTTCTTCGTATTTGATAAATTACTTTCCCAAATGCTTGAAATATCTATAGGGTATATGAATCGCGTTGTTTTGATGATACATAGTTAAATTACGATAAAAATCGTTTTCTTTATAAAAATCGTGTTTTTTTTATAAAAATCGTGTTTTTTTTATAAAAATCGTGTTTTTTATAAAAATCGTGTTTTTTTATAAAAATCGTGTTTTTTTAAAAAATCGTGTTTTTTTAAAAAATCGTGTTTTTTTTAAAAATCGTGTTTTTTATAAAAATATATGTTTTATTGATAAATTTTACTTTTACATTTTATTTTTAAAACTTTATCAAATTTAGCCGATTCTACTTTACCCATTCGATTAATCTTTTTGTGTCCTAAATATTTAAAAAAAAAAAATTATAATATTTTTTTATTTTAAAAAAAAAGGTTGATTTAGATTTATAAAATTTATCTTTTCGGGAACTTTCTTTCATCATTAAAAAAAACATTCATTCATTTAAATTTAGATTTGTCGAAGTTTAACCACGTGGTCTGGTGGTATAAAGTACACCGAGAGTTCGATACTACAAGCTTACATATCCTTAATTAAGGAATCAAAAAGGTTTATCTATATTGAGGTATAACGTTAAAATTTTTTTGCAAATTATGTTAAATCTCATTTATAAAACTGCATGGTGACCAACCTATAAAGAGGTGTTGGTAGGGGGTAATTTAAATTTTGATGGGCTAGGCAAATGGTTAATCCTTGCATTAATAGTATTTTTTTAAATATTGCTTATAAGAAATTGTTATATTTAGAATCTCCCTTTAAAGAGTCTTCTTTATTGGGAATGACTTGAGGGGAGGGAACATATCCATATAGTGAAAAAGGGAGGGAGATTATCTAGTATTTTTTTCCAATTTTTCAATTGTAAATGTTTTTCAGATCGTTTATAATTCAGCCTTATTTATGTTATACTGATTACCTCATGCAATGCGTGTTGAGAGGATGTCGGGGCGTGTATTTTTTCAATATGAAACGTCTAAATTCCAAACAAACAAAAAAATGGCTTGCCCTTTATTTAATTAGCAAATCTTTTATCGTAATATCATAATTCCATAAGCTAAAAAAATATTATTGTATCATTTAATATAATTATATTTTACTTTGTAGAAGATGTTGTATTCTATCATGGTGGTAACACTTCAAAATTTAAAAACTTTTCAAAAAAATACCAAGATATTTTGTTTTTTAATAATGCAAAAAAAAACAGAAATGTTTCCAATTTAAACGAATGCATTTGAAACGCATTATTTACGTTTTGAAACGCTGTGTTAAAACGTACAATTTGCGTTTTAAAACGTGTTAAAACGTACAATTTGCGTTTTAAAACGTGTTAAAACGTACAATTTGCGTTTTAAAACGTGTTAAAACGTACAATTTGTGCGCATTATAAAACGTCTTTAAATCGTTAACGTTTAAATATATAAATGCAACGCGTAACTATACAGCACTTGTTATTTATTAAAAAAAATTATGAAAGACCTTTATATGTTGAAAACCGAACCTTTCTTTAAAATCTAAATTTTTTGAACTAGGCTGGGTATACTCATTGAACCTGTAATCAAAATTGAATTATTAGAGGCTGGCCGAGATTATAAAATGAGACAGGAGGGCTCTAATTCAAAGTGTATTATATTCATTTGTGGAAGAAATTAAGCGAGAAGGGGGGGGGGGTGGAGGGTATTGGCAAAGTTTGCTTTTTCTATATTTTATTTTCTAATCTTATTTTTTTTACTTCTTCATTTCAATTCATTCTAACATTATTGATTAAAATAAAAAATTTCTCAGTGTTATAGTTCTGAATTAAGAATATATCTCTCGGTATATTATCATCAGCACTTTTTGGACTAATATAAATGAATCTCTAAGAAAAATACTTCAAAAACCAACATCGAAAAGTTAATTAAGTTGAAGGTTTTATATAGGAAGGGGAAATATTATCCAAAATTATAAAAAAAATATTAATTCACTTATTTTAAAGAACCAATTTTTCGTATCGATACATGAAAATTCTATGGTTATGAATGGGATCGCGGAAGCACTTTATCAGAGAATAATTTTGGCGTATAGGTTATCCTTTTTAATATAATGATTAAATCAAATAATGTTTTTAAACGGCCCGATTGTGATTTTAGCCATAATATTATTGATTTGGCGTAGAGGTTCGAACCTTTCTGCTACCTATGGGAATAATTTCCACGTTTACATAATATTATCTTGGCTAAAATCTTGATAGGGACTTATAGGGCATTTATATTCATACCAACACTTTTCCCTATATTTTTTTTAATATAGTATTGTTACATATTTTTCTTAAATTTCATTCTAAAAAAACATTTGACCACAGCAATAAACATGAATTCAAGGTTTACATAGTGATGCCCCTACTTCCTGGTTTTGAAGGGCAAATAGGTGAAAAGACTGGAACATTTTTAAAAGCTGTTATTTATTGGACCAGCTCTTCCTTTTATATGGGCAGAAAATCTTTGATTCAACGATTGAGGACTTCAAGTTTCAATTTAACAAATCATTAATTTATTATTTTTTGCTAAATATATATGTATATATTTATTTATTTTTTATAAATAAAATAATTAGTTGAAAATCCATTTGAATATATCAGTATTTGCGGATTGAGAAAATACACAAAATTAAATGACAAACTGGTAAATGATTTGAAATTGTATTATATAAAAAAAAAATTTTTTTTTCAAAACTTAAATTTGTAATGTTAAACGACTCGATTTAAGCCGATTTTTACGAACAGATAATTCAACATTATAGCCAGGAAAATATTGCCTAAGCGTCGAGATTTCGCCGATAGATGTTTAATCCTATGTGCCCTTTATAAGCAAAATCTTTAGGCTTGCATGATATTTTTCTGGGTTAAATGATTGGGTTAGCCGTTTTTAAAAAATCAGATCAAATTGAGCCGTTCAACACTATCTTAAATTGGCACGGTATAAGGAAATTTTTTTTTTGGAGAAATGTTAACTGGACTGAGAATATATTAGAAAAAAAATAGAAAAATATGAAATAATTTATCTCTCACAAACCCAAGGGAAATGGCAAAAAAAAAGGTAAAACATTTGGGAAATCTTTGAATTATTAATTACAAATATCAACCCCAATTTGAGAAAATGAGAAGTCTCTTGAATAAAATTGGTTATATTTCATTTTTAATTTTTTTAGAAAATAGGTATTGAATATTGAATTAAGGTATCATATTACTTCCGCATTTCAAAATGACAATTTTAAGTCTGGAGTCATGATCATCAGGAGGAACTTAAAAGACAGGATTTACAAATCAGATACAACTAAGGATGATAGAAAATTACTAATAAACTGTGCGTTTTCACTCCAGTCATTTATCAAATTTTCTCTCAAATTTTTTTTAAATTTTCTAAGCAATAAAATCAAGACTTTTCCAAATGAACCGAGAGAGAATTTATTTACCTTCATCACAAAAATTTATGCAATTATAAATATGGCTCCTTCTTGGTAGCCTAACTTAGATGTTTATCGATTGATTTAATGTTTTCGGTTTTATATAGACAATAAATGTTAAATAAACTATCCAGGGGTGTAACCAATGGAGTGGGTGGGGCAATTTGCTTGTTCTCGTAAATATCATATAATAAAATTCCCCCCCCCCCTCTTCCCAAAAGATTTAGAAAGTATATTATTAAAAGACAGTAAAAATTAATAACTTATTTATAATAACGACTTATAATTCAAAATATTTAGAAAAAAAAATCATTTATAAAAATATAACATTGCCCAAGGCCTACAATTAGTGCACCTTTATATTTTCCAAAAAAGTTTATAGGGGGAAAAAATTTTACCTAATAGTCCGCACCTAATTCCCCTAAGCAAAATCCTACATAATGCAAGTAAAACTATCACTAGATATTAATATTTTTTAAAAAAAAAAGAAATGTTAATTACATAATTTTTGTATAGAACTATTATTCTCCATATTAAGCTCATACTGGTGAATCGTTGGTTAGTTATCTTTATTTTTGCACAAAAGAAGATTAAAAAAAACTTGGTTAAATAAGGTTCTTTGAAAAACAATTTGGATAAGGAGTTTAATAAAAAATCAATTCCGTTTTAAAACAGGGTTTTTTATCCAAAACATGGTGATAAGGTCTTTAGAATTGGCTCGCTGATGCGATTTAGAACCAATAAAAATCACATATTTTGGCTCTTTTTCTAATTATCAAATTAGAGTTATTGTTCCTAAGTTTTTTTAATGATATAATTAACGGCTTTAAATATACAATGCAAGTTTATAATGGTTATGAAATGTATAAATATCATATCCAGGGAAGGGGGAGGGGGCTTTGCTAACTTTTTACAAAAGGGGGCTCTAAAAGGTGTTAATTAATTTTGAAAAATATAATTTTGTTTAGCCGGGTTTTTATCCCATAGATTGATATCCTTCTACTGTATAGTAACAGTTAATATACATGTATTTGCTAATCAAAATAATATCTAACCCAATATATAATCTTACTCAAATGCTTACCCTCACTAAATAATCCCAAATCTAAAAGTTTTTTAATATTTTTTTATAGTATATACTTGAAGTATATAAATATAAATATTACACATTAACCTACACATCACAAATTAAATATATAGTTTATGAAAAAATAAATCTTGTATTTTATTTAGCACTAAATAAAAAGATACAACACTTAATGAATATTATTTACAATTTAAGCTTTTGTAACTTAGATAATTGAGCTAGTCAAATCATTTATAAAAATTAAAAGCAAGGTATAATAAAAAATTTAGGGTAATTTTATCAGTAAATATTCAAATAAAGTAACCCATAACCGGAAAAAAAAAATTTCTTAAAAAACATATGACAAAAATTTTAATAATCTTATATTAACTTAAACTAAATTTATATTAAAATATTATAATATTCAGAATTATTCGATTACAAATTATAACGATCGAATAACAAAAATTATTAGATTAATCGATTGGTCGAATATATGAAACATAAAATATTTTAATATAATTAAAATATTCTTTAGAAACCCTATGCCGCCTTGAGGGTTCATATAGCTATTGTCCTTATCGATTCTAAAATTAAAATTCCCTATATTGAACATGCTGTAGTCAGAAGTTGTCATGTAAATCTTTAATATAAAATTGGCACGGCTGGTATACCACAACCCGATATATTAAAAAATTTATTTGAAATAACAAGGTTTAACAGACTTCCTTGTAAAAGAAAATACATAATTCACCTCCGCTCATGTGAGTGGGTCTTAGATTAACGTGCAAAATGAATGAATACTCAAATATCTTTATAGCAGGATTTTAAATAAAATGCATATTTGAAAGAAGTAAATCCAGTTCACCAATTTCATGTTATATCAATTACTTTTAAATACAGTCCGCAATTAAGTTTAAATTTCGCAGTAAATAACGAAGAACTTACAATGTAAAAAGTTATTTTTGAATTTATCTTTTGACATTGCAATTCTTACTTACAATATCATAATAAACAGAACATTTGGGAAAAAATTGCTAATTTTTATACATTTCTACAAAAAAAAAACAGGTTACAGAATTAATTTACGTTCACAGTAAATTACTTATAGTGGATGATGAGTGTTGCATTATAGGTTCGGCTAATATAAATGATAGGAGTCTTTTAGGAGATCGAGATTCAGAGATCGCAGCTATTTTCAAGGATAATTCAAAAAATATGGAAAACAAGGAAAAGGGTACATTTTGTTCGACCCTACGGAAAAATATCTTCAAGTATAAATTCTTTCTTTTTTTTTCTCTCTTTAAAAATTTTAAATATCAATTAGGGAAAGTTACTGTCATTAATCAAATAATTTTATATGTTTGGGTTATACCACAAACATATATGTTCTTACATAAACGTTTAATATCAAGTATATATTTTGGTCGTATTTTTTTCTTATTTCACTAAAAATATATGCTATATTTTTATTAATATGAAAATCCAAGAAAATATATCTTAATTTGGCAGTTATGCTATGTTTGGACCCTTAACCAAAGTTATCTACTCTATATAAACGTTTAATTTCCTTTTCTCGATTATCATTCTCATATAATCTTATTTCTTCTACATAATTCTTTATGGTGTTTTATTAATATTGAAAATCCAAGAAAATTAAATATCTTAATTTGGCAGTTATGCTATGTTTGGACCCTTAACCTAAGTTATCTACTCTATATAAACGTTTAATTTCCTTTTCTTGATTATCATTCTCATATAATCTTATTTCTTCTACATAATTCTTTATGGGGAAATTTTCCTATTAGTGTCGTTAAACGGATCATTTTGAGCCGATTTTTAAAAAAGGTTAACTTAAAATTTCATTACTCAAAATAAAAGATACAGGTTATAGTCTCCTAGTTTCTATAAATAAAAGCAAATATTTTTATTTTATATAAAAAAATTCAACATAAAATTCATATAAATTTAGATATATTTAAAAAAATTTCCAAGGCCCGGCCTGCTTTTGCAGATCTGTAATTCCAATACTCAAGACACAAAATCCCAAATCTTTTTCTTTAAAATTTATTTATATATTTTTTTAAAAGGGAACATTTTCTCGGATCTAGGATGAGCCTGAACAATAAAAATAACTCCGATGTGCAGGAAAAAGATTTTGAGGATCCTAGCAAAGATCATTTCTTCCATTTGTGGAACACCAGGGCTAAAAGTAACGCAGTGGCATATAACGAGGTTTGTTTTAAAAAATAAGTAACCTTGCTATAGTAAATACATTCTGGTCTCGTTAAAGCTTTTAAATGCAACCATAATAGGTATCTTAAGTAATGGTAGGCTAATTAGTGTCCTTTTTAGCACAATACTCTTTTTATATTCACATAGCCATGAATTGTCTATGGGGAGAGGGAGGGGGTGGGGTAAATTATTTTAATATTAAATCTATTTTATTTTAAATATTTATTAGAACTAAACTAATCATCATGCAGAATTATTGATAAATAAAATACGATTAATAAGAGTGAATATAAATTATGCATAATATTGTTAATCTATAAGTAAGATTTTTAAAGATAATTACTATAATGCAATGGTTTTAAACTTGTAAACTATCGATTAATGATAGATATTGTCAGGTCAACATATAGCAGAAACACTGTCCAAAATTTATTAAATTACAACCACTTATTTTTTAAATATATATTAACGTAATTTCGTGCTTCGAATCCGATTTAATATATTATCCCCCAAGGCAATGGAATATAATAATATCCAGATTGACGATGAACTCATATAAAGTGCACATCAACGGAAAACAGCTGAGGACGCCATTTTGGTTACGCAAAGAATATATAAAAAAATTAGCAGTCTAAATTCAAAATGATTTAAAGTATTCTTGATCCTATATAGGTAGCCAAAATGGCGTATCACGTAGTCTCCAGCTGATTTGCATTCAACGACGCCTTAAAATGCACTATTAGGAATGAATGTCAGTCTAGGTATCATTATATGTCATTGCTTCAAGGAGACGGCCTGTGAAACCCCCCAACCGTATATTTTTATAATTTTCCTTTCATATTACCATATTATAAAATTTCCACACCCCCCTTCCCCCTTTCCACATTATTATTCTGATTATTTATAAAAGAACCAAAGAAAATGTCTAAAATTTTCCCATCAATTTTAATTTTTTCCCCTTTCCTTCCCTCCTCCTTCAAATGACAATGGAAGCTTTTTAAAAATACCCCCCCCCCCCTAATTAATGATGCAGCTGCGGCAAAAATGATGACAAATCAAAATACCCCCTAAGTTTCATTGAGTTACGACTGCCCCTTTCCCTGCCGCATATTCCAAATTACATAATTAACTTAGTATGGTGTTATTATAATTTAGAAACATAAAAATTTAAAGAAACTAAATAATATCATTTTAAAAAAAATTAAAGATATTTAGGTGTATACCTACCAACGACACCACAACTCTGAATTCCTTAGCGGAATATCAAAAAATAGCTCCATTATCTCAGACAAATCCAGATGCTGCTCTAAAAAAGTTAAGGTCCAGGATCAAAGGCAGATTAGTTGAATTTCCATTACACTTTTTGATCGATGAAGGAGAAAACCTTTTGACGTTTCCGGAAAGTCATATAAGATTACCTATGGGGAAAAAATCCAAGATATTAAAGATATACACATAATTGATTATTAAAGGCTATACATAGCTTGAGGTCCCATCTATTCCTATTATATTTTGTGATAATCCTGCTATTGGAATTATTAGTTATGATGGAAAATGAATCAAACATTTGCTTTAAATTACGGCCACTCAAAATTTTAAATATTTTTTAGGTTTTATAACTTATTCATAGTATGTATCCATATAATAAATTTTGATGATTAAATGTATTCAAATGTTGATGAACAAGCAGATTAATCCTTCCAATTTTGATTTATACCTTAGAATAATATTGCAGTTATGACAATTATTATTTTTTAATTCGAGGTTAAGGTTTGCTTTTATAAAACGATTAAAAAAATAGGAGTCCATGTAACCTATTGTTATTAAAGTAACTAGTTACATTTTTGCAAAAAAATAACTGCAATATTTTTGGGAATGTAACTGCTAAAAGTAACTAGTTACTGTTAAAAATAATTCATTTTGATTAAATGTCTGATTCTGTATGAGTGCCTTTTTTTAAATATTTTATATGAATCAGACAGATACAGAATATAACATGAATCTGATTGACGAAAGAAATTGCACCACCCACTCTAAAATTATGATAAAACAACGTATACTAACTTGTCTAAGTTTCGGAAAATATTTTGATTTTTTTAAATAAATAACAATTTCTATATATGTATAACTATGCATTGAATAGATGTTGTTAATATAAAAAAAACGTTCAACCATTTTGACCTATCAAAGACTTCAGACTAGGCTTATATATGATCTATTTAATAAAGCCTTGACTGAACATTGTATCCTGATAAAAATTTATATATAATAATAGATAAAGCAAATTTTTGCAAAGGCATTTAGATATGAACCTATTTACTTTATATATAATCTAATGTTTTCTTATGGGTTAATTGATTATAATTTAAATGACTTCGATTACCTTCCCAGGCACCGGGGATATGTCAGTTATACAATAATTAATGGCAACAGAGACGCCAACAAGATCCTCTTAATGAACAATAATTATAAGAAAGCATATAACATTGCCATATCAACGTTTGTGAAATTTACAAAATCAATCTGAGCCATCTTTTGTAATGATTAAAATGAGATTAAATTATCAACTACCATATTCCCTTACAATAAGATGGGCCTTACAAAATATTACCATTTTTAAATTAAATGCCTATCGAATTTGATTCATTATGTGATGAATTAACGTTGGGTAGATTCATAACTCATGACCTGATTTTTTAAAGTAGTGAAAATTTAAATTGTTTTATAAAAAGATTTACAATTTAAAAATTAGATTATGCAAGCAGTGGCTAAAGCCATTGATATACTTAAAGGTGAGAGATACAGTATCAGGTTTACCATCAATAATACAGGCAAGTATTCAAAAGTTGTCAACCTTTAAGAGAATCTATACATGCTAGTATTACAAAAAGGTATTAGAGTTTAAATTATTTATAAATTAATAATATAATATTAATATAAGTTCTGTGATCTTTATGATGATATATTATTGCTGCAATTTCCCATCTATATAAAACTGACTGGCCTTAGATATGGTAAGAAGAAAATATAGCAAAAAAGGAAAATGTTAAAATCATCATTTTGATCATAATATTTTTAACCTAAAACGACTTAAATTTGTTGTTGCTAATGATTGTCTATAAAATTTTATACAATCCAATAATAACACTTTTTTTTCTTTATATATGATTTCCCAAATTCAAGTGCTTCCATAGAACGTTTATTCCTCAATGGAAGCTTATTTTTGCAAAAATTAGAGCGCGTTTCTTAGACAAATAATTCAAAAATAGTTTATTGGTAAAGGCACATAAAAAAATAATTAAGCTCGAATTTTTATAAAATATAATCAACGATGCTAATCTGATATATTATAAATGATCCATTAAGTAACTATTTTTTAAAATGTAACTGTAAATATCAATAATTTACATTTAAAAAAATAAATAGTAACTGTAGCTAGTTACCCTTTTTGAAATGTAACTATTTACATTTCAAAAGTAACTTTTAACAACAATAATATTATCCATCGTTTATAATAAAATTTTTATTGTCATTTATTTTTGTCTTTTTTAAAATTAAAACATATATCTAATGCAGTAACGAAGATTGTAGTTTAATAGTAGAGCAGCAATTGACCATTTATTTTTATAAAACCAAATTAATAAAAAATATTAAGATTTATAAATGAGCGGAATTCGTCTTTTAATTTTGAGTAAAATTCTCAAGAACTAACATTGTTACATTCAAAACTTTTTAATAATATTTTTAGTTTAAAATTCTTAACTTGCATTTGTTGTAAAACCAAAGTTAAAAAAAGTTTTGGATTCTTTTACAATTTTTGTAAAAATTGGCGTTAGTCATTTTTTGAAAATCAATTTCTTCATAGTTTATATCAAAATATCTTGAAAAGATTATTTTAAATAAATTTCCAACAACACAATTCATTTTAAAATTAATTATTGTTTTTTTTTAAAAATCAAAATAAAATATAAAAAATTTTCTTTTTCTTTTATTTATTAAGCATTATTGCCCCAAAGCTTATTTTTAAAAGGTGAAATTACACTATACATTCTGTCGATTTTCTCTTTATTTATTAAGAAAATAAGCAATTTTATATTTGGTTCTCCAATGTTATATATTTTTTTTAACGTAATAAAAAAAATGGCTCTAAATAATATATCGTAAATGAGCAAGATTATTTTTATTGATTTTAAATAATAAAGCAATTTTAAATTCGCTTCCCCACAAATATTTTTTTTTACCGTAGTAAAATAATATTATCTTTTACGTAGCAAAAATAGTATTAATTTTTTTTCAAGGTAGTTAGAATAATATAATTTTTTTAAAAAAATTAGAAGGGAAGCAATGTTCCCTTGCTTCTATGGACGCTTGGTCACTGATATAATTTATATATATTGTAATATTTTACCAAATAAAAGTTAATAATAAAAAGAAATATTTATTTTTAACGTAGTTAGAATAATATTGATTTTTTTTAAATACAGTAGATTGTTATTTTTTAAGAAAAACTACAGGGGACACTGATTTAATTCATATATATATATATGTATATAGAAGTTAATAATAGTAAAGAATAATTATTTAAATATATTTGTATAATGTGATGTTTATTATTGTTAAGGTTAATATAATCATCCGTTATGTTTGATAATAATATTCCTCAATTTGAAATTTATGAAAAAAATTTATTAATATTTACACTTCATTTATTTTATAATACTTTCTGATAAAATGCTAAATCTTAATTTTCCAAATATTTTAATTACACTATGTTTTACAGACCATTTTACCCTAAGATGCGAGCTATAATATTACACCCTCAAGCGTTTGAGGTTTATATAAAAATACAACTTTTGGTGGGTGGAATGCGTTGTATATTAAAAAAAAAGCAAAAAATATATCATATAGATTACATACTATAACTACATCATAAAAATATAAAATACAAGACAACGATAGTAAATGATTTTGCTTTTATATCAATTATTTATAAAAAAATGAAATTTCTTAAATAATTTGTTTCATCTATGGTATAATATAAATATTTTTTTTAAAAAAATTTTATAAATAAATTGTGATTCATTTTTAAAAAAAAAAAAACTCAGCCAAATTTTTTTTGTAGTGAAGCTGAATAGGATTATAATAAACATTATAACGTTTTTAAAATAAATATTCTGGGATTATTTGACTCTAATCTCCCAATTTTACATTTTAAGATAATTAATAATGAAATTTTAAAAACTAATTAAATGGTAATTTTTACTAATGTGTACAGTTAAAAAAATTTGTTGATCACGGATAAATATAAACACTACGTATTGATTACTTTATTATTATTATTATTAAGTGATAATGATATTAAAATAATGTAGGAATTCTTATAGTCCTAAATTATTATCAAAATATCTTATCAAAGAATAATATGGAATTTTATCATGATAATTTGACAGGTTATATATATATACATGAAAGAAAAAGAATTTAAATAGATATGCGATAAGTGACGAGATATTCGGGATACGCTTGTTCCCCACGATAAATGACGTATTCCGAATGTAGTAAACCGTTTTCCGTCGGTTTACCTACGACAGAATGATGTCCGGGAGGCGAATGAGCCATTTTGATTGCGGAAACTTGAACGAAAGATTTTCCTAAGCACACCCTGCATAATAATATTTGCCTGGAGATTGGAGAGAGGAAGAAAATGATGTTTATTTTAAAATAATAAAATAGTTATGAAAACAGAAGCAACCCAAAATTTTTTGAAAAAATGGCTAAGAAATAACTCTTTTTTTTATAAATTATTTTGTGCCGAAAAATAAAATATATTCGTTAAGTATGACATAATGACTTCGATAAATGTTGTTAACCAAATGAAATGAAGGACTAGTTAATTTGGAGAATAATGAACAAATTTAAAAACAGTTAAAAAGCTATCAAATAATATAAAATATACATTTAGAAACTATACTAACTGACCATTATTTATTGGTTCCTTATTCACCGATTATTTCCGAAATCTGAAAAAACAGCCTAATTATTATTCGAAAATAACCAGAGTTTGAACATAAATCAAAAAAAAAATTGTTACTTCATCTCGGAAGATTTTTAATGCATGAAAATTACAAAATATTTAGACATTTTTAAGGTAAAATTTTGCCAGAAATCTTTCTTTCTACTTTTGATAAAAATGGATAAAATAAAGCCACGCCTTTAATATATAAAAATATTTTATGTCAAACAATATTTATAAACAGGAGCTATTTATACCTATTGCACAAGTAACAAGATTTGTCCTTATGGTCAAGGCAACCCGTGCCGCCACCGATCCCATGAACATATTGGTTACTTTTGGAAGAATTCTCGGCGAAATAAATGCCTAAAGGAAAATAACAAAATGTTTAGAATCTGAAAATTGGAGATAAATTATAAGTATCGGTTCTAGCAACTAAATTCTATTTTTCTTTTTATCGTATTTTACCCTCAAATAATTATAAAATATAAATTTATAAACGTAATTTTATTTTTCATTTTTTTAAATTTGGGGATATTTTTTAAATTCCCCCGATTTCGGATTTATGAAATAACAAAATGCTAATATTGGAACATAATATTTATTTGGAGAAGAAAAAAGATAAACATCGTATATTTAAATCGGTTACTTATACAATATATTTAAATAAAATGGGCCTAAAAATTATTTTATTTAACGATTTCTATTAGATTAAAAAAAAATTCAATTCTCGGATTGAGGGCCTATGAATTTGAACTCATCGCCTCTTCATCTAAACTCACGTAAAAAGAACGAAAAGTTTAGATACTAATGATAAGAAGGAATATCATTTATAAAAAGCCTATTTAAAACCTGCTCCAAACATCCCCCCTAAATAAGAGTGCCTCTCGTCAAACCCTTTCCTCGCAATGATGCAAACGAATGGTGACCCGTGAAACAAAAATCTTTCATTGTGGTCACTCCCGTTTTCGGCCGATATTTCGATCCTCCTATGGAGATACTTTTCCCACAAACTTTTGTTGGAGACCCGTTCGATCTAGTGGTAAAGATATTACAAACAAATAATAGGCAGAAAAAATGCAATTGAAAAGGATCGAGAAAACTGGTTGAATTTATAAAATAAAATTGGCTACATAGACCCAAAATTGACGGCAAATTTTTTTTAGAGAAGATATTTAAAAGGAAATTACATCGAGGATATCGTAACGATTAAACGTGCCGCCCGCTAGCCCTTGGTCCCTGTGCTCTTTGATAGTACTCTGCATCATATTTTCGATCAGAGCGAATTCTCTACTGTCGCGATTCAATCGAAAAAGGGTTGTTCTTACCGAACAGTGAACTTTATTATCGGTAAAATGGTTTATCAGCTGTTCCTGGGACATGTTCGAAGTAGAGGACTCATTTTTATCTTAATTTTTTTAAATTTTTTTTATTTAATTTACCATTTTCGCAAATTAGTTATTTCTTACATTTTCTCATATATTTCTATCGCCAAAATCGTTCCAGAAAATTCTGGTTAATTTGGGTTTAATCGAGAAGTAATAATTAATAATACCTAATTTCGTAGATAACATTTTTATTCCTTTCAGCAATTTGTGACGGTAGCCGTAAGCGTCTATCCCTATCGATTTCAATTCTTCGTGGCCCATCTCTTTCAATATGTCTAAGGTGATCTTTTAAATGTTATCATAAAACAAAAACCCATAATTTTTTTTTAATAATTATATATGCCAGGGATGAAAACCGTTTTTAGTTATCATGCCATTATTTATAATTGTAATAGAATCAATTAACCTTAAAATTGATAGTATGATTAATCGTACGAATATATTGTCAATTGTGTATGATGATTAATTGATATGTTTAGATTTATTTGTAAAAGATATATAAACTATAGTAAAAAATTTATTGAAGCAAGTTAAAAATATAATAAATTGTTCAATAATAGTCAAATATGTCATTGGGGCAGTCGACAGGATTCGAGCCTGTGCGGGAAAACCCAACTGATTTGTTAAACGGCTCATTTTGAGCTCATTTTTAAAAACGGCTAACTCAATTTTTTATTAGGAAATATATTATGCAAATCTTAAGATTTTGCTCAGAGCACAAAGTTTTGAACATCTATTTACGAAATCCCGAGGGTGAGACAATATTTTTCTGGTTAAAATAATTGAGTTATTCGTTTTTAAAAATATGCTTAAATCGAGCCGTTTAACAACAATGCTCATTTCTATTTAGTTCATTAATAGTCAAATATGTCAATAATAGATATTTGGTAGTGGGTATAAGTACTCCTTAATAAGACCCAAATAAAATATACCCAACAACACCTTAATTTTTAAGCGCTAATATTGATTGTTTATTAAGTTTTCCAAACTTATCCTAATTAATTAGTAAAATAATAGATAGAGATACGGCTAAAAATATATAGAGCGACTTATAGCTGATAAAATAATTCAACTATATTTAATAACTTGGACATAAATATCTTTATTCTTGAATAACCTTTTCCTTTTCCAACATACCATACAATTGATTCAGATTAAGCTTTCGCAGAAAAGATTCCAATTCGAGATTACAAGTGTCGGATATCATTGTACCGTTTTTTAAATTTAAACCATCGGGATAATCGATTACCAAGCCATCCCCGTGCTCTTTAAAATCTAGCGGGCTTAAATTGACGAAAGAGGTACCGGGTAGGTCGACTGAGGCATCGATTGATAATACATCGCCTTCCGACTTTGTTGGGTAAACGGGCGAAGCTGGTGAGTTAAGTTGGGTGGTGGTACCCATGAGACCCTTCAACAAGCATTTGCAATCATCAGCCTTTTATTTAAAAAATGTAAATTTAAATACTAATATACTATCGTACAGTATATTTTATTTATTAAAGCTGAAATAAAAGACCATTGAGTGAAAATTCAGTCGACAAAATGATTACCTAAGATCCGTAAAATAGTCATAATTAATAGAAAGGGGGGGGGGGGGGTAAACGCAAAACTCTGATATAATCCCTATAGAAAATAAAATTAAGTTTAGATCCGGGTATAAATAAAACGGGAAATTAGACATAAAATGGAGAAGGTCATTAAGCGAATGAAGATTACTGTAGTAAGATCGAAGGGTGTCGCCCCTTCGTTATTTACTGCTCGTATATCGGCTCCGTGAGCTAAGAGCTGGGCGCAAAGTTGTGTCCTATTCTTGTGGGCAGCCTCGTGAAGCGGTGTAAATCCCCATTTGTCTCGCGTATTTACCCCATCGACCACCTTTATTATAATATGTTTCGGAGAGTAATATATATTCCTCTTTTTTAAACAAAAAAAAATTATGCGCTTCTAAATATATAATTTTTAAAAAATAGTGTATATCGCTAGATTGACAATCCGTCAGCTCAGTCATACCTGTCTAATTTTAGCAGAGTTAAGAGCAAGATTTTTACCCAACTTAGATAGTTGCCCAATACATAAAGATTTTTTTACTTTAGAAAAAATGAGATTATGTTCATTTTCAAAATTTTTTTTTTATTAATTCATCAAAATCATGTGTAAAATAATATATGTAATACATAAACTAGAAGGAATGTATAAAGTTATTATAAAAGGTTGTGTAAGAATAAAAATATAAAATTAATTTATGTAATTGTTATCTTTGTTAGTTTACTTGGTTTTTGTACAATATGTTTTATTTACATGGTGTTTGATAAAGCCAAGCCTTCTTTGAATTTATGAATATTGCAAACAGTTCTTTTAGAAATATAATCTTCTAGAAAATTCTCCCAATGATGACTTAAAAAATTTAATAACCTAAACTTTTTTTTAAAAAATTAACGATAACTAGTTATATTTGTTTTCCTTATAGTTTTTAAAATATGTTAAATTTTATAATATAAATGAATGAGTGAAATAAAAAAAAGAACAAATGCCCACTTAATAGAGGTCTTACGCAGATGGATTAAAAGTCTGCCTACTTTTCAAGGTAGATAGTTGCCCAATTTGCGAAAGCATTTTCTAAAAGAAGTTAATAGAAATTTGATGGGGACTCAAAATTTTGGTCAAATAAGGGAGTTGCCCAAATTAGATAGGTTTGACACCCTTGCCATTTTTCATATAATAAATTATCTACAATTTTATTTTTAACATTCTTTTTCCTTATTCTGAAATTAGATAGCCTATTTATTTGGCTTCTTCATATAAATTTTCTTAGTTGGTTGGCATAATTACGATTAGTCATACTTGTTTTAACTGAATATAAATATATACTAACCCTTTGAATTCCTGCATTTGTAATAGAAGTGGATTGAAGAAGGGCGGCGGCAGCATCAGCGTGGCCATAAGAAGCGGCGTTATGAAGTGGTATTAGGCCGCCACGATCACGAGCGTTTGGATCGGCATCAGCTGCGAGTAAGGTCAGGATTACGGACACGTTATTGAAACCAGCTATTTTTTTAAAAATGAAATTGTAAAATGAGATTATGGTCCACTCAAGAAAGTTTTCTGTTACAACAGCTGATTTATAAAAATTTACTATTGGATTATTTATAATCACATGACCTGATAGATTTGACATATTATTAATAAAAATGATTAAATTTTATTAAAACCAATTTTTAATATATCTTAACCCTAATCCATATCTCTCAACCCTTTAATCAGCCCTACCCGATATCTCCCTAACATTATTTAATCCTGTTCCTTACTTCAGACACTTCTTAATTTCAAAAAAATAATTCACCCAATAAAAAAATTTCTTTCAGTCAGCACTCTATAAGTTGAGCTTTTATCAAATGAAATTAAAGAAACGCATGAAATCAAAGGGTAAGTTATTTCACATGATCTTGCGTTGACAACTATAAAGGTTTGGCTTAAATTTAAATTTCTTTAAAATTTGGAACACAAACTAATATTCGTGGAAGATAGCCATGTATAAAATTTTTACAATTCGGTCCAAACCTATAAAAAAAACTCTTATACCAAACTAGAAGTTCTGCTTAAAGAATAGATTTTATAGTAACCAGCCAAATGCAGCGGCGTAGAATAACGACCTTTGGTGTCGCGACAATTAACGTTAGCGGGTGTTACCAGCCTTTTAACCTTATCCAGATCCCCTATCTTGGAGGCTTCCAATAAAGCAGCTCTACCTCCATCCATGAGTAGGTCCATGAGATCCGGATCATTCAAGGTCTGGAAGGGGGATGTAGCTGAGTAATATTAAAAATAGACATTTTGTGTTTTACTAATCCTTTAATAACTCATCCTAAATCATAACTTCAAATTTATGCTAATAAATAAATATTTTCGAGATATTTTACTTACTAAATTTAAAAAAATTAAGGAGTTTCTTATTTGTTTGTCAAATCAAAAATAATGATTTTTTTAAAATAACCATTATAATGTTTTAAGGAGGAAAAAATTAATCAACTAAAAATACCATACTCAAATCAGCTGTTTCCTCTGGTCTAAGATCCCGACCAAAATGATTGAGAATATAAAGCTCGAGCCGTTAGTCCATCTCTGTTAACTTTAAGTGGATCGGCTCCATATTTAAGCAAGATTTTGCACATATCGAATTTTCCTTTTTGTTAGTGTTGGGGAAAAAATTTTCTTATAAAAAATCAAAATTTTTTATTCGTGTCATTACAAATTCGCTATCAATAAGTTGGTATAATTGTAAAATTATGAATATAAACAATGTTAAAAGCGAATCATATTCGCAACAATTGAACCTTTAGCGGCCGCTTCGTGTAACGCTGTATAACCCCACAGGTCAGGGGTATCGGGGCAAGTATGACCTTTAAGCAATAATTTTTCGGTCATCTCCGTATGGTTGTAAGAGCAAGCGTTATGAAGAGGTATTAGGCCGCTGTAAGAATTATAAAGAGATTATTTTGGGATCTAATAATAAAAACAATCATTGATATTTTATGAAAAGTAATTCAATTAAATAGCAGCGAGATTTATGCCAAATTAAGACTATCGCACTAACATAAAAATTTACATTTTACTGTAGATTCGATATTCAAGTACATAGAATACCAAAATAAAATAGAGAAATACCCTTTATCTCTGGCGTGAACGTTGGCACCCATATCCAACAGTAATTCTGCTATAGCTACCCTATTATACCCGGCCGCAAAATGTAAAGGCGTGGAGTGTCTACCTTCCAAATCCTTGCAATACAGCATGTCTGGATAGGTTTTAATCAACTTCAAAAAAGTTTGAATATCACCTATTTTGCAAGCTTCCAATATTGCTTCAACTTTTGGGTCGAGTTTTATTAAAAAGAGAAAGATTTAATACCCATAAATCATATAAACAATTTTCAAAATATTAATAATAGCCAAAACAATTTTTTTCATTAAAAAAATATTAAATCACCTATATCATAAGAACAAAGGTCGCCCGTCTGAGGAATAATTTCCACTTTCTTTATATCCTCTGATTGACAAGGAAGACCGACTTCGATCGCTTTACTTTTGACATCCATTTCTTGTTTGTTACTACCCTTCTTCTTGACCTGGGATTTGACGGATGTCGATCTATTCAAACCTTTGTGACCATCTTACTCATTGTGAAAGAGAGAAAAAAAATTAGGTATAAAATGTCGTCATAAATATACCCTTGAAAACATCTAGCGTTTCCAAATTGGAAGCTAAATTCACAGCTTTAAAACCGTGCAAGGATACAATGTTTGGATCTATTCCGTAGGCTAAGAGCGCTTTGCATATCTGAGACGTACCTTGCTTAGCGGAACGGTGCAGAGCTGTCTGGTTAAGAGTATCCAAAGAATCGATCTTTACGATAAAAAAAATTTTTTTCGTTTAGACGTTTGTTAAAATGTTGAATCAGGTTTAAAATATTTTATACTTTAATATCTTTAAAACTTTCTCTCTACCCCTTCTTTACGTTTAGGTATTTATTTCACGAAAAGAAAGATATCTTCTCTCGAAAGAAAAAAGCCTGAATAAATAATTTCGAGATACAATTCTGAAAATTATTTTTACGAGAATTTGAAAAAAAATTTTCAAAATTTTTCAAAATGAATCATGGTTCAAACGTGATAATATCGTATAGTCCTTTAACCTTCAAAAAATTGAATTCTTAAAGGGATCCCTTTAAAACCCGTGATGATCCCGGATAGTTCTGATCCCTTAAAAAATTACGACATATATAATAAACCTTAGCCCCACATTTGAATAATTGATCCATAATATCAATGTGAGATAAATCGGCGGCGACATGAAAGGGAGTCAACATATCATTGTTCTTTTCATTAAGATCGCATCCCTTCTTGATTAAGTAGTCTATTATCTTAATAAAACGAAATAATATTTATATCTTTAAAGCTACATAATTATTAAAAATCAAATTTCTAAATGGTGGGTTTATATTATAATGCGCTATTAAAAAAAAATTATTTTTTTTACAACCAATAAAATTTTTCGACCAGTTGGTAATATATAAAAATTTAAATAGAGGTTTTCACCGGACCGAATTTTATACGAACGTTTACCTTAGTATTCTAGAGTGGGGTACGACTGGATCAAATAATTTCCAATTTACAGAGTTATTCAGATAATAAATGACTCAAGCGACACACAAATTTTTTCCAATAGCTGTAGAATATCTACCACTATTTTGAGTCTATTACATCTCCGCGTATTGTCTAAGGCCCCATGTTTCATGATTTTCGGCATTCCCTATGACATATTATATATAAGTCTAACTAACCTTGAATTCACAGTTAGCACGAATTTACGGCGAGGTATATAATTTCAATTATTATTATATCATTTCTTTTTGAAATAACCAAAAATCGGAGAAACTCCCCTATGGATTATTTATCATCATTTTTATGTCCGTATCAATTTACTGTCCCAGCCCGGGTTTACGCGGTTTTTTTCCGGCCAGCCCGTAACTTTTTAAATTTTGTTTATTCAAAATGGCCCTATTTTTGTTGATAGTTGCCCCAGGGAAGCCGAAAATTACGTGATAGCAAATGAATGTTTAAATGACTAATTGCGCAATTTTCCAACCAGTCGATAAAAAGCCCGATTCTTAAAAAGGGCCAGATTTTAGCCAGAATAATATTATGTAAGCCTCGAGATCTGTCAAACAGATGCCCTAATCTTCCTGCCTATGATTAAAAAAATCTCCAGATTTCCATAATATTATTTTTGATTATCGGGCCGTTAAAATCGATCCAAATCGGGCTTATCAATACACCAATTGATTAATACAAAAATTAGGTCAAGGCGGGCTTTGGCCTTAATCTGCAGGTCTCCTGATTAATATTATATCACAATTTCAATTAATGAAACATTTCAAATTTATCATACCTGCTTCTTTTTTTAATTGGCTGAGAACTATATCACAATTTCGATTTGGTTAATTAAAATAAGAAATTTCAAATTTATCGTACCTGCTTTTTTTTGGTTGGCTGAGATTGGGAAACAACGTGAAGCGCGTTATCGCCGCTCAAGGGATGCTTAAAACCGTGTAATTCGTTTACAAATTTTTTTATACGGCCCATGTCGCTTTTGCGTATGGCGTCCAAAAATTGGATTCCTCTGTATTCATCTGATAACGTTACAACAAAAAAAAAAGAAGGATATTGGTAAAACTTAAAATGTATCGCTTTCCATATCTTTCCCTCATTACTTACTTTCCCCGTGGATAATATGAAATGAACTCACATAGCATCCTGGTCCTAAGCTCATCGTCGTAGGCACAGTCGAAGGTCGAACGACCGTGACAATTGAGTAAAGTTGGGTCGGCGCCGTGACTTATGAGTAGACTACAAACATCCAGCCTGTTTTTATGAGCCGCTTCGTGTAGGGGAGTGAAGTGCCACAAATCTTGGGCGTTAACGTCGGCTCCGTGATTTATTAAAAGTTCGGCTATCTCAAAGTGACCATACGAACTGGCGTTGTGGAGGGGGACTAAGCCACTTTTTTAATTTTGGTTTGTAGTTTAATTTATTACTAGAATGGGATCCGATGGGTTGCAAATGTCAACGAAAGAGGCTGATGTCAGGAAGGGCATCCAATAATAAAAACTTGTCCAAACCTGCTATAAACCCTTCCGTTTAACATGCCTAAGGCAAAATACAGTTAAATGGATGGATGTCGTCTGGTGTAAGTAGGAAGGAAGAAGACAAGCTGGGTGAAAGAGATAGATGATGATATTAAAATGGTAGATTAGAATGGTGGTGATGCCCAGGAACGTAGAAAATGGAGAAATGAGATTAGAGGGGAAACTGGTTTACCTAGGTGAAGCCGGAAATGGACCACGAAACGAGGAATAATCCCATTGGTCTAGAACTCAAAACAAAGCTCAAACTAAAATGATCATTATTTATATGATCAAAGATTTAATCTTGGGGATTAATGAATAAAATTTTTATATACCGTCTTATTTATGTGATATCTTCATTGATACTTTTTATGAATTTTTTATCAAAAAGTTATAAATATCAGCCTCAAAAAGGAACTTTTAAAAGAAAGTAATTTCAATCACAATAATCCATGAATGTAATTGCAAAAAAATCATCGATACTATTAATATTTAAATAATTGATCAAATAAAAAAAAAGTTTGAATAAATTATTTTTCCATATTAAATAATGTCCGGAATTTTGATTGGAGGAGATCCCAAAAATATTAATTAAAATCTGCTTTCAATTGTAAATTAATTAATTAATTCTTTATTTAATTAATAAATGTTTGTTTTAGAAACCTGATTATAAGATCATTTTCCAGTTGAATATGATGAATTCATATGACCTTTAAAAAAACACACTAGATACATACAAGTATAAAAATCTCTAAAAATGGCACGAGGAAATCTCAACTATATAATAATTTAAGGGTTTTCTAAAAATAAAAAAAAAAACTTGTTCTATTAGAGTAACCGAACTTAAAAAAGACAAAAAATTTTTTTAAATCATATACCCCTTATCTTTGACTTGAGGGTCGGCACCATTTTTCAGAAGTATTTTAACTATACTGGTTATGTTGTACCCGCTGGCTAAATGGAGTGGCGTTGACATTCTACCATCGTCGGCGTGGCAGTTGGTGTTGTAAGGTGTCAACAAGTAGCAAAATTTTTCCTCGTTGCCCAACTTAGAGGCCTCGAGTAATTCGTCTTTTTTGTATTCGCCTTGTTTCGTGTTTTTTTTTTGGATAATCAAGAAATTATTCGTTTTCCTAATGAAATATGGAGGTTTTAATCTTTTGGAAGAGGTAATATTCCCTAAAAAAAGATATAAACATGGTTTGGGACAGAAATCCCAAAGCTAGTTTTTAATAAGTTTCAAAATATGGCGTCTTATTGTTTATATTTTTTGATGTTTAACAGTTTTAGAACCGGAACCAGGAAACGACGCCAAATTTAAGAACCGAATGCGGAAAACAAAAATCTTAGGAACCCTAAATATCTATTTTTTTAAAAAAAATATTCAGAATAATAAAATAATTAGAACATGGGGCATAAAATGGTGAGAGTAAAATTCGGTGACGGAAAGGAAGGAGTTAGGCAAGTAGAACAGATACGGAAGAGAGTAGAGTCTGAAAGATTGAGATCCAGCCATGATGCGGCGAGGAGGGAGGGATAGATATCTTAGCAATTCTCGAGTTAAAGCACATAGAAAATAATAATACTAATAATGATAATTAACCCAAGATGGTAGTACCTCCGCAGTTCCGAGATTAAATCTAATTTAAAATCGATAATGATAATTAACCCAAGTTAGTAATACCTCCGCAATTCCGGAATTACATCACATTAATAAAAAAACAAAATAAATATCATTTTCCTTTATAGAATTTCGGGAATAATTAAAATACGATATTAATATATGTAGTAAAACTTTTAAAATATTTTACATCATATAGTTTTTTTATATTTATGTTAACATATGTAGAGAATAATAAATAATTACATTTTGATTTTATTTACAAAACCCCCCTGTTTGTCTTTGTTAAACAACAATTTTAATTTTTTTTTGTATGTTCAAGGGTTTTCATTTAATGGGGGCGTGTTATAAATAGTTGTATTTATTTATTAATATTAGATAAATTTTTTTGTGTGAGTCATGAAATATTTTTTTTTGTTTGGAATTTTATTTTTAATATTTTTTTTTAAAAGTTTCGCGCAGTCATCATGAACATTATTATATAAATATTTTTAATATTTATTATGTAAAAATAATTTAATATTTATAAAGTAAAAAATAATCATATATAAACTAAAAAAAAAAGTGGAAAATTATTATTTTATAATTATATTTTTTTTTTAAAAATCCTTCTTTCGTTTAAAAGAAAAATAAAGACGAGATATTATTCCTTGTTGTGAAATTAATAAAAAAAGGTAAAAAAAAAATAAACTGCTAAGTTAAACGTTTCTGTGCATTGCGAAACGTTGAAATTGGTGCCGTGACCAGGATGCCATTATCGCTCGTACTTGCTCAAGATGCGCAAAATCGAGAACATAGATCTCTTTTCTCGTTATTAAGAAAACAAACATAGAGACCCTGTATATCTTCCAGAAACCAAGATAGTTAGCGGCGTAGTTACCTATGATTTCAAATATGTCGATGTGCTTATAAGCTTGTGATAAATTGTCATGTGCTTCCTTGTTATCTAAAGTTGATCCTGACATCCGCATCTTTTCCCAAGCTTCAGATGCAGCATGTGCATCTCGAAGGTTTTTGCTCTGTAAACTATACGTGGTAAATATGCTAGAAACTTTACTCAGTACGTTGTCGCCTATATTGCAGCTACCCATTCCAACTGTAACGATCATTTTTGCTTTATGTGCTGAGGAGTTCCAGCGTTGTATAGCCTTAGGCGATGCTGTAGCAACTATTTTTCCCGATATAAACTGGTTCATTATTTGGAATGCAGCTTTGAAGTCGGTGATTATCGGTAACCCAGAATAATTGTGAAAAATCCTACGTATCAATTCGCCATACATCCCTAGTTTCTGGTATTTATCGAAGCTTCCAGTCTTTAGCCCTTCCAGATAACAGTACCGTGAGTGTAGGTCTACCCAGTCTTCATCTATTAGAGCCAGATTTTCATCTAGTGATTCACAGAACATGGCGTTGAGCCCTAACCTATATGCATGGGAGGCATTTCTGAACTTAACGTTTGCCTGTATTCTTTTCTTGTCAAACACGCCTTTAAAGTTCTTATGTGTGAAACGTGAGTCATTTGCTATATCCATCAAGCACACAAGGGCGTGTGCCGTTTGATTATCATAAGTTGGAGTTATAAAGACTCTAGCCATAGCAGGTCTAAAGATATAATAGTAAATTTGTCTTTAATAATAACTTTTAACTTTTCACGTTTTAACGAATTACGGATCTGCTGTTCCTGTCCAACCTTGGAATAATCCATCGCTGAGAAGAGCGTGCGCCAAAATCCCTCTTTTGGAAATGCATGCTTGTATGTCTTTCAGAATAAGCTCTAAGTTTAGCCACTTGCCTGTGCTAGTAAGTCTAAGGTTGTAGTCATGGTGCTGGGCCCAGTGATGTCTAGGTGCACTTGGGCTCCAGGAGTTCTACGCAGAAAATTATAGGCCGCTCGATGGAACCGACCAGGGCAGGTTCAGAAAGGCGTTCAGATATTGCCTGAATTGGCTCAGTGCAGCGATGGATAAGGTACAGGAACCTGAAACCCTGGCCAAAATGATGAAATCTTCACTTGCCATATTGCAAAATTGTATGCATTATAAACACGAGAAATTAAATCTTGGCATGGACAAACGATTAAGGAAATTAGAGGAAGAACTCAACAGCATAGGGAGATTGGAGGTTAGCATTTAGCTTTAAGACATAGCGGGGCACTAGAAAGAGAACAGATAAACTTAGCATACATGTACCATTTACTCCCAGCACCAGATGCACCTCCACTCAAGGAGATTATGAAGTGGATATCAAATTAAAGGAGGGATATGTGCCCAAGTTTTGTGCATTACGTCGGATACCGTTCGAATGGCGAAATGAAGTAGACAAGGAATTGGAGCAGTGGGTGCAGAAGGGCATTGTTTGTCCAGTGGAATATAGCGAATGGGCAACACTGTTAGTACCCGTGAAGAAGGCCAATGGAAAGCTTCGTTTATGCGCTGATTTTCGGGTCACGCTAAACCCGTGGGTTGTGGAGATAAAATATCCGTTACCTCGGATTGAAGAAATATTAGCTAATTTGAAGGGTAGCATATATTTTTCAAAGGTGGACTTTTCGAACGCTTACTTACAATTGAAGGTAAAACCCGAGGTACAAAAGCTATTAACGATCACGACTCCGAAGGGATTGTATGCCTTCTGTAGATTGCCGTTTGGACTGTATATCTTTTCACATAGATTGCACATATTTCATGAGAGGCCATAAGAAAGGCTTCTCTAAAAACTTGCCTACGTTGTCCGATTATTACTTTAATTTTATTATTATTAATTATCAATGTATGATTTTAATAAATCACACATATTTTTAACAATTAGATCATTTTCAGATTTGACTACCCATATAGCAGAAAATCTTGTATGTTCTTCTCCATCTATAATGAGGTGAGTAAAGACTGGCATTTGATAATGATTTAATTTATAAGTTGCATCAACCAGGAGAATCTCTGGGAAATTCATTCAAATATTCCCTCATATTTGGTGTTTGGCAATAAATCCCCCTGAAGGCTGTTATTTTCAGTGACTATTTTGATAATATTATTAGGGTTTTGATTTTTTAATAAGTTGATAACATCCAAAAGTTCAGACTTCAGAGTCCCCTGGCTGATATAGCGTTTTCTTTTTTATAGATTTGTAGCTTAAATTCCTTTTTGTTGGAGATCATATTTTATTTTAGGAAATGAGTCACCATATTCTGAACATTTAATAATAACTGCTCTTGATTCTTCCGCCATTTTACTAAATTAGAATCTAAATTAATATATAAAAATGGTAATATATTTGATAAAAAAATATACCCAAATCAAATTGTATTGAATAAAAAAAAATACTATCAAATGCAAAACCAATTAAATAAGCAAAGTGTCATTAGAACATTTACAAGTAGTAAAGGTGATTGAAATGTTCCCTTCAAGAGTGCCTATAAAAGCAAAATTCATGCAAATAAACTGGAAACATAATTTCGCTAGATACAATTGACATTTTCAAGGCCATTCATATTTTATATATTACATTTACTCTATCAAAGCATATTCATATAATTTAAATAGATTACATATAAATTGATAAAAAAATACTTACTGGCTAATATCTAATTTTCAAGGATAATATTAACTTCCTTCAGATGAAAATTTTTACAAATTGAGACATAAAAGTAATATAAACTGTTTTATTAAATTTTAAATATAAAATCATTATTGTAACTAAGTATATAAAATATAATATACTTTTAAATATAAATTGAGTATTCAAATTATAAAACGAGTATTTACAATAAACGAGGGCATTTAGATTCGTACGCGTTTATTTATATGAAAATAAACATGTAAACCTTTTTGGCGTGCTTGGTGATTCATGAAAATCGTGAAAAAACAGTGCACGCTTAGCGCGCATTATCATTAGCCGTCGGTTCATGGGGGAAACCAAAAAATGGCATGTGACCAGCTAATTTGTATTCAACATGGCTACAAAAATGCATTAAATTATTCCTTCAGTGTGGGTAAGTATTTGAATTTATATATATTAGGGTTCATAAAAAGATTATTATTTTTACCCGTAAACACGGATTTGACAACCGGGTCGGCTATATCGAACGCGGATTTTCCGTCAGAGTTGGATAAGTTAAAATTCGCCCCGTACTGAATCAATACTTGTTGATAGTTAATGATATTTATTATTATTATTTTTTGTCTATTTAAATCATTGAATAAAATTCGAAAATTGTAGTGCTCACAAAAATTAAGCATTAGCGTTTGGAATTATGTTTACCCATTTGTTAACATAAACTATTATTGCGTTTTTCTTAAAACCAATTTGGACGTTATCACTTTTAAATATTTTATTTGAAATAAACCGCATCAAAATGCTTCAATCTGAATCGGATCATTTCAAAAAATAAAATGTATTTTAAAAAAATAATCATGACTATCCCATTATTTTTCTTCTTCATGAAAAAAAAAATCTTTGGCATTTAGGGATTCGAACCAGATTTTGGGTTGAGGAATTTTAAATTCCATTTGATAACCATGATCCTAGGTCAACGTGTTTAGCCAAACAATTATAAATTTCTGAACCTAAATTCGGGTTGGAAGCCCTGATTGTATTTGATCTTAAAAATTTATTTACTGAGGCAAGTCTCCGCCTTTCCCTTGATAACCGCTTCGTGCAAGGGCGTAAAATTCCAATTGTCAGTAGAATTTGGATCGGACTTATGTTTCAGTAACAGTTGAACGACCTCGTAGTGACCAAATGAACACGCGTTATGTAGGGGTATTAAGCCACCCTCGTCTTTTATATCGACATCGGCACCTATCTGAATTAGATAATTTACCACTTCCTGCCTACCAAATCCTTTTATTTATTTATTTTACGTCAGAGAATTTTATCATTATAATTAACAATGTGGAAAAACTCAATTTAGGTATTTCTAAGAACAATGATAAATCAAGATGTTACCCAAATCAAGATGTTGAAATTTCATAATTAATATTAATTGATATTATTATTTTAATAAAAATAATGGAGTTATATTTAAATCCAAAATTATTACGTGGAGTCGACCTAGTCGAAAACTGACTAGAGTTATGAACTCAGTTTTTTAGCTCTATTAGTGAAGTTGGGTCGACTAGAGGACGAGTATTTCAAATTAGTATTTATATTATTATTAATAAACAACATTTGTTATGTTTTTTTTCAGTCGTGAATATGAGTTATATACTTGAGTCGACCAGATGACGAGTATATGTTATGAACGTGAATCGTTTTTAAACTTAGGTAAATTGGAGAATTTTATATTATAAATTCTTGGGGTGGGGGGGGGGGGGGGTGGTTGTTATTTTTTAGGTAAATTTTTTAATATTAATAAAGGATTGGCAGTTTTATGATTGGTTCATTTTTTACTGTATATAAATATTTTTTTTTGTAGTATAGTATTTATAGATTTTAAAAAATCATTTAGGAATTTTTAAAATATTTTTTCCTAAATTATGTGAAGGAATAGAGGGTTCTTAGCCATACATACAGCATCTATATTAGGGGGGGACGGTTAGGGGTAGGAACATTTTGCTTATAAATTTTTTGAATAGAGTAGGCATCAAGGTGGGGGGGGGGGGGGGGGTTTAAATTATTTTGGGGGCTTCGACCCCCACATTTTAAAAATTTCCCAATATTTTCTCCTTTATTAGTGTCTAACCACTGTAGAAGCCAGCATAAGTGAAAAAAATATTAGTAACAATACGCGACTGAAAGCATTATTCTTAAAATTTTATCAATGAATTCAATCCATTTGGTGTAGAGAGAAGAAGAAAAATCACCCCCTAAACCTCCCATTTTTTATGATCACTCATTATATCTTATTCTATGTTAAAAATAATTATTTTAATTAAATTTTTGCATATAACAAAATTTTGCAGAGATTTCATTATAATTACTTTTATAATATAAAAATTTTATGACTAAGAACTTATTATAATAATATAGCAATTTTATTATTTTAATTTATAAAGAGAGGTCTACTTTTCTCTGAGATTTGACAAATTCATCTAGAATCAAATTTTTATCTAGAATATTCTCTTTATAATATTTAATATTGTGAATCCATTTAAACAGCTTTCACTGGTGCTATTTCTTAAATAGGTTTTAAACCTTTTCAAAGTTGAAAAAGGCCTTAGTGTAGGTTCTAATCAGTAAGGTAGCTAAAATAAAAAGCAATGTTTTGATATTAGGCAGGGAATCTAAATGCAATTACACATGGAAAGGGCCTGCAAAGCATTTTTTGGTCTCAAAGAGTAATCTATTCGACATCACAAAGTAACTTATCATGCGATATTGATAATTCATCAGAATAAAACTGATTTTCTTAATATCCTCTAAAAATATTTATATAAAAATCCTAAATCGTAGATGCATCAATATTTAAGCAATTGGACTATCTAGAAAATACTCAAGGTTTTAAATTTTTAATCACAAACATATTAGCGACCATCTTTACTTTCTCTAAAAATACCAAATTCAATGATTTTTCTTTTATTTAAAAATTATAAAAAAATAATTAAAATTTTTAAAACTATCTAATCAGTTTAACATTATAAATTTTATTATTATATTGTTATTTAATAATTTACATATAATTTTTAATTTATATTTTTAAACCATTTTGTCATTTAAAATTGATTTGTTTTTTTTAAATATATTTCATTTTGATATTGTATATAAATTTATTTATAAATTGAAATCGTTTTTTAAATAAAATTATTCACAATAAGAAATAAATTTTCATAAAATTATTTTTTAAATTAAATATTATTTTTTTGAGGTTATGTGGGGGGGGGGGGGGGGGGGTAGTCTACACCACTGCCTAATAGAGTAAATTTTGGGAGGTTATCAAAATTTATAAATAAATTAGGGAAAATATATTGCTGTAAAACTATATATAAGTTATATAAAAAATTAAATTAACTTTGACTCAAGTTCATGACTTAAGTTGGTAGTCTTAACTCAAGTAAAAATATATATTTAAAAAGAATGGAAAAATGTAGTTTGATAATAATATAGATTAATTTGAATATATGTCCTCTAGTTGACTCAAGTTCATAACTAGTGTTGACTTACATTCATGTCTAATGTCAACTTGAGTTGACCTGAGTAAATTTAATTCATATTTCTATAGGCCTATAATTAATTAAAATATCTGAACTTTGTTAAATTAGCTTGATGTAAAAAAAATTAGCGATGATGGGCCTTAATATTTTTCAAATTATTTATCTTTTAGATGTATTAAAAAATATAGAAGTAAAAGTTTGTATATCATTCATAAAATGTTCACAAATTGTCTACAATTTGATTAATATTATAAAAAAAGTACCAGCTGCAATATGTAATGGTGTTGATTTGCGACCTTGATCATCTCGGCAATCAATGTTATCTTTATTAAGCAAAAGCTTGACTCTTATTATATCTCCATTTTTACAAGCTTCAAATATACCTTTTATTTTATCAGAGTATTTTTTATCATCAAAAAAATTTTCAAAAGAATCCAATCTAGATGACATTATAGTTCCCGACTATATAACTCGCATTCATGCTTATACATTAAATGTTTTGTCCTAAATTGAATTGAAAGATAATCATATGATTAAAACTTGAAAGTAGTTTTGCTAAAATAGGAAAATTGAAAACGACATATTATCAGATATTGACATACGGAATGTCAAATTATAAAATATGCAAAGGATTTATGAAATTTTATAATAAAAAATTATCAGCAACATTTGCTTTTGATTGCACTAATATTTACAGAAATAATTTTTATTTATAGAATTTTTTTTAAATTAGGTTATTTTATTTTATTTAATTACTTTTTTTAAATGTCCATTGCTTTCCGATTTATTTTAAAATATATTTCCCATTTTTGTCCTATCATAGATTTTTACATGGATATGGGCATATGACTATCTTAGTTTAATACGTGTAATGATTTAATGAAACATATTAACAATTAAATTAAAACCCATTCATATAAAAATATTTTGCTTGCAAAAATAATATTAATAACACAAGGAAGAATAAAAGAATTTTCTAATTATTTTTGCAAACAAAATATTTATGTATGGGTTTTAATTTAATCGTCAACATGTTTCATTAAATCATCACAACACTGTACTACCTATTATATTTGGGATAATTCATGTAACATCTATATATATTACCATAGTAATATTTATAAATGCAGATATCACAATATAATAGATGCTATGGGTGTTGGGTAGTTAACTTTCATCTATTGATCATAATCATAAATATATATATAATCATAATAAAATATATCTAAATAGCGAATATATCACCATTATAAAATATATCCAAATAACGAATTTACAAATTCATAATATATTGTAATATAATATGATATATCAATACATATATTTCATAATATCAATAATAACTAAATATGTATACTTTACACATTACTACACTACCCTAAGTTATTTATCTGATATGTTTATATTTTTTTCTCCTTTTATTGAAAATTAATCCTTTGCACATGACATTAAGGTTACTAGAAGGATGTTACATGGGCTCGACCCTCCTCAAAAATTTGAATAACCCTCTGAATGGAATTTTTTTAATGGCTCCCTAATAACCTCATTTTGATAGCCCTCTGACTATTATGTAATTTATATAGATTTGATATTATTTATTTATTATTTAAAATATCTTATAACCCTAATTAAATAACATTTATTAATTTAAAATAATATAAATACTATTTAATATTGTGATTTAAGTTAGCGAGTTCAAAATCATAAATCAACTATATGACTGATTTTTAAATTTAATTCTAAGATCCAAACTATACGAAACAACTTTGTTAAAACACTAAGTATATCTAATTAAAACATCTTTTACTAATTTATTTTATATTAGATAATGAAGAAAGAGGAGATAGATTTTGAGATGAATACTTTAAATAATAGAAATAGAAGCAATACTGATAATATTTTAGACAAAATAAGTGGGGGCAATAAAAGAGTTGGAGTTAAAGTTTATTTAATTAAAATATCTTTTACTCATTTATTTTATATTTATTAGATACTGAAGAAAGAAGAGATATTGATTTTGAGATAAATGCTTTAAATAATGGAATTGGAAACAATATTGATATTGATAATTTTATTAAAGAGAAAAGGGTGCAATGAAAGAGTTTTATATTTAATTAAATCTTTTACTCATTTATTTTAAATTATTAGATGATGAAGAAAGAAAAGCTATTGATTTTGAAATGAATGCTTTAAATAATGGAAATAGAATCAATATTGTTGTTAATGATATTTTAAACGCGGTGAAAGAGTTGGGGTTGAACATAGTACATTCAAAATATAGTTTTTAAATTTAAAACTGCTATAGAATTAATATATATAATGCCGATACTCACTTTTAGGTTATATTTAATATATTTATTTATCCTTGCATTTAGTCCTGTAAATCGGCGATACTTTTGTTATATATTTTATTAACAAGTACCATTTTTCCTTTACAGTGTCTTCCATGGAGCACAAAATATAATAATTAAGAATTATATTTATTAGAAAATAAGGGCTTCTGAGTTTATCTAACCGCAGTCGTTACTTTCGTAGTTTTTAACTAGCATATAACATGATGTTTACTTCGTGGTTGATAAAACGACCACTAATAGATAAATTAATAAATAGTAATCAGGCGATTAATATTGGCGCAAGCTAGATATTCTATGAACTCATAATTTCCTACTGGATATGACACTAATTTATTTCTTTTTATTTTGTCATTACTTAATCATATTAGCAGAGTTTGACCCACTAACTAAAAGGTTCTTCTTCTGAATATTAAAAAAAAATGGTCGTAGAATTTAAAGAAGAGTTCTAGTTTCTGTTTTTAAATTTAACACAGTTTCCATGATATTAAACAATGACTAACCGATTTTGTTCCAATTTTCTATGAACCTTAATATGGAATTAAATTTTAGTTTCCGGTTACCGGATTTACCCCGATTCCGTGAAAAATTGCTTGTTTCTGCCATTTTAAATATTTTGATTAGGAGTTAAGTTAAATAATATCTCTAGTTTGTCCTATACAATGTAATATGTTTTTTTCATACAATTTACAATTTCAGTAATGATTCATAGAATATCATAAATATATATATTATTTATCTTATCTTATCTCCTCGGCGTGTTCATCGGATATGCCAAGTGATTAGCTTACTTGGATCATACAGAGGTTCATTTACAGTAATGTAGGCATAGGCGGGGGGGGGGGGGGGGGGGTTCAACCCCCTTCCCCCCCACCCCCATGAAAAATGAAAAAAAAATTTTTTTTAATTTTAATTTAATAAATTCTTAAAAAACGCTTGATTTTTATGTTTTAAATTTATTATAAATAATAATAGATACACATTTGATTATTTATATATTTATTAAATAATTTTATATTATTTTGCATTTCATAAAAGTTGTCTAGTTTGTCATATTCCATTTCATAAAAGTTGTCTGTCATATTCCATTTTATAAAAATATATATTTCTCATTTTCAATATGAATTTCACACCACCCAAAAAAAGGGAGTTATTATTCAAACGTATCATGACGTTGACTCAAAAAATCAAAAAAAACTAAAAAGATTTTGTCCGACCATTTTCCTCGAAAGACAAGAGTCGGTGAAACTCTTTATTGAACTATATGATGTTGTTTTTGCAGTACTAGAATTTTATATATCAAGCAAGGAAAAAGATTCAGCAGATGCCGAAAATCTTTTGCAGGCTATTATTAAGCCACAGTTTTTAATTTCAATTCAATGTGTTTATTTTTTATTTAATTATACATATAATTTTAGCAAAATGCTACAAAAAATTGATTTGGATTTAAGGGAGATTATGAATAGAGCAAAGGATATTGTTAAAATATTAACAAATATCAGAGAGAATGTGGATGAAAAATTTCATGAAATATATGAAAAAGTAAAGGAGATTTCTAATATGTTTGGAATTGAAATTTTTAAACCTAGAGTAGGACAATCTAATCGATCAAATATTGATACATCTACGATCGAGGATTTTTATAAAATAAACATTTTTATTCCCCTTATTGATACATTATTATTTCAATTAAAAGAAAGATTTATTAGTCATAAATATATTTTAAAAAGCTTTTATTTTCTTTTGCCGGTTGAGTCTAAACTGTTGATTACTCTTGAAACACGAGAGGATATTAAAAAAACTCAGAGTTTTATGCTGATGATTTAGTAGGTTCATATGATAAGTTACTTTGTGATGTCGAATTTTGATATAAAAATCTTGACAGAATAGGGTATTCTTTGAGACCAAAAAATGCTCTGCAGGCCGTTTCCATGTGTAATTGCATTTTAGATTCTCTGCCTAATATCAAAACATTATTAATTATTTTAGCTACCTTGCCAATTAGTATCTGCATTAATGAAAGGTCTTTTTCAACTTTAAAAAGGTTAAAAACCTATTTAAGAAACACTACCGGTGAAAAACGTTTAAATGGATTAGCCCTATTGAATATTTATAAGATTATTATAGATAAAAATTTGATTCAAGATGAATTAGCAAAATCTCAGATAAAAGTAGATCTCTCTTTTTAAATTCAAATCAAAAAATAGCAATAAAATTTTATTAGTTTTAATATATAATCAATTTTTTTTTGTAAAAAAAGTATTATTTATAAGATAATATCATCATATTTTTTAAATACCATTATTTGCATAAGAATTACACATATTTTATATAATTGTAAAAAATTACTTTTTTTAAAATAGAGTCTTTATACATTAGAATTTTTAATATTAAAATCTGTATTATATAAAATATCAACATTTTGAAAATATTTTAATTAATAAAAATATATACATGATTAAATAAAGGAATGTAAAATATATAATAAAATACCAAAAAATTTTGTTATATGAAAATATAAAACAATTTTAACAAATCCAAAAATATAAGCAATTAAGTGTTCAAAAAAGGGAGGTTTGGGGGGCAAAGCCCCTTCCCCCTAAAATTTTTTAAAACCCCCCATGATAAAATCCTGGCTACGCCACTGTCCATTTACTATATATTTTTCAATTTTTTTATTCACATATGCACAAACCTCAACCCAGATATAATAAGTAAGGGTGAGAAGTAAACCTACCATAAAAGTATTCTCTTTGCACATAGGAATATGTGTTAATGCGATGTATAATGTTTGGGAAACAAAAGTAATATATAAATTTCTTCACAAATCTTGACGTATAAAAAATTTAACATTTATGATACAATGCATTCTAATTTAAAAATTATTGTAAAATATTTTCGAAATTAAAATCTTTTCTAAAAAATCATTATTTCAATTTGGTCTAAGGATCGAGTGAATATGGAGAAGTATGTGCTGCGCTGAAATTGAGTAAATATTATTTGTAATAATTTTTTAAAATATAATTGGAAATTTGAAAAAAAAATTGAATCAAATCTCTTATTTTAATTTCCCTTTTTTAAATTTTTATTAATGTTATTCTGACTAAATATCAATTCTTAATGTAAATTTTATTAAATATGAAGACAGAAGGTAAAATTAGTGTTATTTATATTTGCTCCTAACTGGAGGTTTTAAAAATC